TTGGAAAATTGCTGCACAGTAGAATTCAATAGCTTTGTCAACTGCATTGTCCCATGGAAGGAGATGGGTGGTTTCATCTTTACCTTGTTGTTAATTGTGAGTTTTATTTTTTTTGAATGCAATTTGGTTCCGGTACTAATTTACTAATAGTTGAACCTATTCAACTCAGGTTTTCAAGCCTATTTTGTCTAATATGATTTTGGCAGTTGTGAATTTGTTCAAACAAGTGTTTGATTACCCAGATTGCCTGTTAACTGAAAGTGTTGTTCATATTATCATTTTATTTTCTTGCTGCTTGCAAACTGTGATGAATATCTAGAATCTACATATCAAAAGCATCATAGCCCTCCTCTATTTCTGTGTTCCAGCTTTTTGCCCTCTGGAGCTGTTGTACTCATCTGACTCCACTTTTGGCATTTTTGTGCCTTAACACTTGCAAGTAATATATCAATCAGCTATTGTCTCCCAAACTTGTTTTGGTTTCCTATACTAATCTTGTGTCCTTCTGATATGTTTTGATTCACTTCATTCCAATACTATTAGACAAATTAAGAGTTTCTTATATCTAGAGGCTCTATAATCTTAGACTTATGCTTATACAGACAGCCTACACTCTTTCAGTACCTATCCACACTGGTACAGAAGCCACGAGCTAAAAGGTTGGAGGGGTTAACCCTTTGTTAAAGTCACAACTGATGACACATGCAAGCTTAAGCAAAGAGTAAAGGAACTCCTGCATCTAATGTTTGTAACAACCTAACTAAGCCTGAATCCCAAATAGCTGGTATAGCCTAGAAGAGTCATGAGACTTTCAAGCTGCTACATGCAGTAACATATGCATTGATTTTATGATGATGTGTAACAATATTATCCGCCCTCTGTCGTCTTTGACTTTTGTTTGATGTGCTGTAATTAAATTTTCCTCATTATTGCAGGCTTGGAGAGTGTAGAAGGCTGCTTTTATCGGCTCTTGCCTCAAGTGTAGCTGTTGGTGGATGCGTTCTTATTCATCTTCTATAGTTGAGGGCTAAGTTTTCTCTATGGCTTCCAGGAGTAGCATCCGTCTTATTTCATACTCGAAAGAGATTATAAATGGTGAACCAATCTTTATTTCCTCTATCTGCTGTCCTATTAAAGCTCACAAATATGAGCCTGCTGGACTTGCTTTTCACTCTGCTGCTCTTAGACTGATTGGGCATGTTGAGAAAGAAGACCCCAAAGATGGCAAAGAAGATGTTCCTAATGACAAGGAACAGACATTTGCCTATTCATCAGAGTCATACAGCTCTAAGGGGAAAAAGAAGTCTTCTACCGGCGAAAAGGTACAAGATCATTATGCATTGTTAGGGTTGAGCAATCTAAGGTATCTTGCTTCTGAGGATCAGATAAGGAAGAGCTATCGTGATGCTGCATTGAGGCATCATCCTGACAAGCTGGCTTCACTTCTTCTAGCTGAGGAAACTGAAGCTGCAAAACAAGCCAAGAAGGAGGAAATAGAAAACCACTTCAAAGCTATTCAGGAAGCATATGAGGTTCTTATGGACCCTGTTAGAAGAAGGATTTATGACTCCACTGATGAATTTGATGATGAAATCCCAACTGAATGTGCTCCACAAGATTTTTTTAAAGTCTTTGGACCTGCATTTTTAAGGAATGGTCGTTGGTCCGTCACCCAACCCATCCCTTCGTTAGGTGATGAGAATACTCCAATTAAAGAAGTGGATAGCTTTTATAATTTCTGGTACAGCTTCAAAAGTTGGAGAGAGTTCCCACATACTGATGAGTTTGATCTTGAACAAGCTGAATCTCGTGATCACAAGAGGTGGATGGAAAGGCAGAATGCGAAACTTTCAGAGAAGGCCAGAAAGGAAGAAACCGCCAGGGTGCGTACACTTGTTGACAATGCCTATAGAAAAGACCCTAGAATCTTGGGAAGAAAAGAGGCGGAGAAAGCAGAGAAGCAGAGAAAGAAGGAAGCTAAACTACTTGCAAAGAAATTACAGGAGGAAGAAGCAATTAGGATTGTTGAAGAGGAAAAGCGTAAGAAAGAGGAGGAGGGGAAAAGAGCTGCTGAAGTTGCTTCGCAGCAGAAGAAGTTGAAGGAGAAAGAAAAGAAATTATTGCGAAAAGAGCGTAGTCGTTTAAGAACCCTTGCTGCTCCTGTTTTGTCTCAGCGTTTGCTTGGGCTAACTGATGATGATGTAGAAGGTATATGCATGTCACTTGACATTGAGCAACTGAGGAACTTATGTGATAAAGCCGATGGAAAGGGTGAGCTTGTTATCGCTGAGCTTCTCAGGGGAGCACTTGGACATGAACACAACCCAAAATATGAGAATAAAGATGAAAAGATTAAGTCGCAGCAAAATGGTTCTCTGGAGAGTAAAAAACAAGTTCCTCTGATGAGCAGTGAGAAAAAGGAGAAACCATGGAGCAAAGAAGAAATTGATCTTTTGAGGAAGGGGATGCTGAAATATCCTAAAGGAACTTCTCGAAGATGGGAAGTTATTTCTGATTATATTGGTACCGCAAGGACAGTTGAAGAGATCCTGAAGGCTACAAAAACAGTTCTGCTCCAGAAGCCTGACTCTGCTAAAGCCTTTGACTCCTTCCTTGAGAAAAGAAAGCCAGCACCAACTATTGTTTCTCCTCTTTCCACGAGGGCTGAAGTAGAGGGAGTAGAAAACAGTAGCAAGCCTGAAAGTGGAAGTGCCAAAGTAGCTGATTCTCAGGAGACCCCTAGTCAAAACACAAACAGCCAGAACACTGATGACGCACCTGCAGCAAACGGAGTTTCTTCGAGTTCTGATTCAGACATATGGTCTGCTGTTCAAGAAAAAGCTTTAGTTCAAGCTCTGAAAACCTTCCCCAAGGAAACCAGCCAGCGGTGGGAACGAGTTGCAACTGCTGTCCCTGGGAAGACCATGAACCAGTGTAAAAAAAAGTTCGCATTACTCAAAGAGAATTTCAGGAACAAGAAAAGTGCAGTCTGAGGTTAGTGGTGTTTGAAACTGCTGAGTCTAGTTTTTTTTTTTTGTTTCCATCTTATTGTTCAGGCAGCCGCAACAAGCTCACTCTTGAAATGCATTGTGACAACACACCCCAGTCCATTTTCAGTACCATTTTTGTCATTAAGCAGTAGCATTTACATATCTACTATTCAGTACGGCATTGTGAAGTTACTATACTGGAATACATTAATATTTGATGGGAAATACCGATGATACCTAAAGTTATTTATCTTTATATTTATTTTTATTGTTTGCCTCTAAATTGATTCTCTCCATCGAAGTTTCTTCTTTTCATTCCCCCTCCCCTTTGAGTTGAGTTTCTTTAACCCTGACTATTCTGGGCGTGCTTCGTAACTGCTTTGAAGCTACCCTTGTGTGTGGACACATCATAAATGTTCAAATATTTTTGTTGATTGATATATGTGAAAAAAATTCCAAAGATACGTATCTACGAAATATGATTACTTTCATCTGAATGAACAGTGAATTGAAATGCGGGTTTTTTTCCCGATAACTTGAGGAACAAACACTATGCAACATCTACGTAAAAGTTCCAACTGAAACAATAGGGTTAATTAGATGGGCTATGATTTATTGTTCGCCTATTTAAACTCATGTAACATTTAGACGGGTTGACGCTTTGCTCATTTTTCGTTCTTGTCTATTTTGATTCGTCTAAATCTAGCTCAACTTGCGAATCAGTGCAAATTCCAAACTATGAATCGACAACAAAAGGAATCTGCCTACGTTTGATATTTTAAATCTGTCAAACTTCAAGAGGTCCATACTGGAATCTGGAAATTAGATACGTCACTCTTCTCATGATGTTTAATGCATTCATTAAATGAATTAAGTACAATTTTTCGATCATCTTAATTAAGGAAAATATATTATTACCAAACAAAAATTCATTACACCCCAAAAATTACTTCACACTAGATAAAGGAAAATATTTTGTCAACGTCATCACAAACAAAACAAAAAAACTTAAGATTCTACAAACGAAGATTCGATTAAAACATATTGTATTGCAAAACTAGATGCAGTATATATAAAAATATATGTATAATACATGAATCTTTTCCTGAAAATAAACAATTCACTTTGCAACAAATTAGATACCTTGTAATTAATGGTCACAATAATTACATCAGCTGGTGGTATATTAGTGTTTTCTTTGGACAGCTTAATTTGCATAGGAATTAACAATATGTAACCTTCCTATATATACATCCCTTTCCCCTTCCATTATGTTTACATCTAACTTTCGTTTCTGTGTGATTGGTCGATCTCATAATATGTCAGGCAAATTTATTCTATTACATTCATGAATATAATTTTAATTTAAACTTACCATACAACTTTGTTCGTCTTCAAAAGACATTCATTCAAGATAAATTACCCACTTCTCAATCGTTCTCCTATATTTTATCAAAATTAAAATGTTAATAAATAATTAAAAGAAGGTTAAATTTACAATGGGAAGCAAGAGAGTGGTGGTGGTGGTCCATGATACATCAAAAGAGGTAAATTGGACTGCTATTAGAGGGGTTGTTCGTAATTTTAGTCTAGAGGCCGGAGATGAGCTTATATTACTTGGAGTTGTTCACCAATTTAATAACTCAACAACTACATCAGCTTTTTTGGGCACAGTAAAACTTCGTAAGTCTTCTATACGAATTTTACTTATATATGTGCATTTTATTTATTTATAAATAGTTCAATATACAAAGTATCATGCATTCACACAACGTTCAAAAAAGGATCGCATAGTTGCAAGCTTGGACCCATGTTCTCCATGTTTTGACCTATAGGTTACTCGAAGACAACTTATAAATTGTTGCTCTCAATTTTCCTTTTCGAGCATGCATTTTATAGAAATACAAAAGTTTAAGGGTTCTTTTTTCTTTTTTTTTTAATATACCAAAAAATGATAGAATATATATCTCAATATTTATTTCTTCAACTTGTTTATATTTTTGTAGTGGGACAAAGAAATAAAGTAGACCAAAAGCTAGTGGAAGAAGAGCTAGTTAAAAGGATGGAGGAGTATAATAAGAGTTTGGAGATGTTAGTTCTGTTGAAACAATGTGAAGTTCACAAGGTTATTCCCTAAACTCCAACTTCACATTTTGGTCACATAAATTTAGTGAAATACTTAATAAACTTGTTGAGAATGTAATCGAGTATATATTTAATATTTATTTTAATAGTTTAAGCTATTAAATAAGATGATTATGCATATTAAATTAGTTATTGCAGTGTTTATGATTTATTTTTTTAAAAAAATATTAGCTAAAAACAAAAATGATATAACAACCAAGACTCTATCTCAAATCACATGTTGGTGCTCAACAACCTAAAGGGTACTCAGATCAAATAACTCAATCCATAAGATATTTTTGAAGGATCCTTTTAAAATATATGATAATTCTTTAAAGTACACATATCAATTTTTTTTTTAAAATTAAGGAGCAGACATACACCCTAATCCACCACTTGGGTCCGCCTCTAATCAGAATAATATGACTTAATAAATATATGAATTGTTGATTCGTCTAAAAATTATCTAGTCTAAAATAAATTAAAATGCAATTCAATGTCCAATTTTTTAAAATTTTAATTGTTGTTTTTTTTAAATAATTTTTTGTGTCTAATAAAATTATTATTTTACTTTATTATAACTATATATAACACATCAAATAAAAAAAATCTTTACATTATTTTGATAAAAAGATTCCATAAATTAATTTAAACTAGATATCAACATAATATTGATTGACTAAACTAATAAATAAGCTAGTCAAAGTCAATAATTAACCAAGTTAAGTTCTCGTCGCACCGGATATAATTAGTGAAGAGGTTTATAAAAGTGACAAGCTTGGTGGAAAGCTCTTATCCTTCTTTACGCCTTACATGTGGCAACAATCACATAAATCAAAGTATTTGTCTAATGCGGTGGATTACTCTCATGTATGATTTGTGCGAATTTTCCTTGTCATAAAAAAGAAAAAGAGGCATTTAGAATCTTAAATAATGGAATTCATATTTTGAATTGTGAATCTTCATGGTGTTGCAGGTCAAATTTCACATACAAGTTCAAGCTGGAAATTCACGAAAGGTGGTTGCTGTTATAGCAATCAAAAGGTTGGAACCCACTTGGATCATTCTAGATAGGTTAGTTACTAAATTTCACATATTCATTTCATTATCTATTTTAATTACTTTTTGTTCATCTGTTATATGGGACCCTGTTATTTGTTACTCTTGTATATATATTTATTAAATCAAAATTTGACCTATGTAATTTTTCAACGAAGGGGTGTCCCCTTAGCTAAGGGTGGGTCCGCTCCTGGTTAAATGATCTTGGATTTTGAAAAAATATATGAAAGATGTGAAAATGTGTCAAATATTTTATATTGATCCATACTTTCATACTTGACTTAGGAAAGTATTGTTGAATTCTGGACACAAGCTAGAGAAGGTGAAGTTTGTAATACAAAATGTTATTGCTTTGGGGCTTTTTCCCCCCTTCCTTTTGGTGGTTATAAGTTGGTTCTTTCTGTATATAGGGAAATGAAAAAAGAGAAGAAGTACTTTATGGAGAAGCTATCATGTGGAATATCAAAATTGAAAAGTGACAACTCCATAGAAGACGTGAGAGGACCGTTAAAATTAATGGAGAACACTAAGGTCTCCCTTACTCGAAATACATTTTCGTATGATGAAATGATACCGGGAGAGGATGATTCATCAGAAGAACGTCCTTCTTCGCAGCAAAGTAAGCAATGCATATATATATATCATTCCTTGAAATGTAGATATTTTAATGGAATTTTTCATGCACCTTAGTTTGATGCTTTTGTTTCATGTTGGATGGTGCTCTGTTGTCATTTATTTTTTATGATGCATTGTAGACTCGAAAGCTGTTTCTCGTACGAGAACCTCATGCAAAGAACAGGCAAGCAGTATACCAGGAAAGCTCTATTCAGATTTTTGTGAAAACAAAGTAAAAAGATCTTCTTCAACTGACTTAGTAGATCCAAGTTCAAGTTCCTCTTTCCAGAAAGTGAAAACAACAACTGGAAACTCACCATCCCACGTCTCCGATGACCAAAACCAAAAGCATGAACATATCAAGGACAGTGAAAGAGAGGAGATATTCGATGATCAATATTTGTATGGCGTAATATCCGAGAAATCTGAATGTTCCTTTTGTGGGAACAGAAGGCCGAAAATGAGACTGCATAAGGACTTCAGTTATAAGGAACTTGAAGAAGCAACAAAAGGATTTTCCAATGAGAATTTTCTATCAGAAGGCGGATTTGGTTCTGTTTATAAAGGGTATTTAAAGAAGGGACTAAGAGTTGCTGTGAAGCAGCATAATGATATGAGCCTTCAAGGAGATAAAGAATTCAAGTCCGAAGTTGAGGTTCTAAGCAAAGCTAGGCATCCAAATTTGGTCATGTTGTTAGGGTCTTGCTCTGAAGGTAGCCAAAAGTTGCTTGTCTATGAGTATGTTTGCTATGGTTCTCTAGACAAATTCTTATCAGGTAAGTCTATTTTTGACTATTAGTTTTAGAATAGGCAGATTGGACGGGTTAAAACAGAAGGAATACATATGCAGCCTGCCTAAATTAAACTAGAATGGGTTAAATTGGGAGTCTATACTCATAATTGTGTTATTCTTATGCAGGGGATATAAGAATGTCTCTCAGTTGGGAGAAGAGGCTAAAAATAGCTTTGGGTGCTGCCAGAGGCTTAGAATATCTTCATAAACACAACATCATTCACAGAGATATTAGACCTAACAACATCCTCATCACACATGATCATGAATCACTGGTATGTTGCGCACCAAGCTGCCCTCTTTTAGTTTGGTTCAAGCAAATTAAGGTGAAATGTACTGGTCCAAAATGTGGATATAAAAACGGATATGCTCTTATAGTGACAATTGACATTTATCTTCCATAGGTGTTTTAAGTTAGACATTTGTTTTATAGTTATCTAACTATATGCAACATCGATGACTTAGTTAGGAGATTTTGGACTTGCAAAAGCGGCGTATGATGAATTACAACATTCTTCTGGTAACAACGTGGTTGGTACTTTTGGATATATGGCACCAGAATATGCAGCAAGTGGAAAGTTCTCGACTAAAACAGATGTTTATGCTTTTGGGGTTGTTCTGCTGCAGCTTATCACTGGACTCAAGAACACAGACAACTGTCTTGAAGATAAAAGTCTTGTTGAATGGGTAAATATTGAAAACATCATTTCACCATATAACACAATATGCTTATTTTGTTCTATGAAACGACTAGTTATGAAATAACATTAATGGCTAATGATAACTTGTACCTTTCAAGTGCAGGCAATACCTCTTCTGGAGCAAAAGAATTATCCTCGTCTAATTGATAAAAGTATTGTCGATTCCCATGATTTCCATCAGCTATTTTGGATGGTTGAGTTAGCAGCAAAATGTCTCGAAAAGGATCCTGATAAGAGGAATACCATGGAATGGGTAAGTTTTGCTTGTAATGTCGAACTAAAATGACTAGTATCCATCATTATAATCTTCATTTGTATGATCTTATAACCGCGACATTGAATTTCAGTATAAAAGTGCGCACTTCGACTCATCATAATTTTGTTATTGTTGTTATTCTTAGCTTATTGATTGTTGATACATATCTTGTTAAATCAGGTGGTTAAGATTTTGAGTGATATAATGGAAGGAAATGCTGATACTTCTATAGACTTCAACACCAAAAGCAATAATGAAGATGATAAAATTCTTGGAACAGTAACAACTTCTTCTTCATTTTCAACAGACAGAACATGTTCATCAAAAAGGTGGAGTCCTTCATCATCCAATAGTACTCATGAAGAATGTGAAAGTAGAAAGATCCCTCTCAAACATAAAGGGGCAACTCCAAACAAAAGCAAACTACTTTATAAAGAGATGATTCATTGAGTAGTTTGTTTTGATTAAAGGCGGATCCAGGATTTAAACTCTATGAGTTCAATCTATAAAGTATGTCTATGGGAAACAACCTCTCTACCTCTGAGTTAGGAGTAAGGTCCTATATACACTTGACCCTTCCAAGATCCCACTTTGTGGGACTACATTGGGTATGTTGTTTTTGTTGTTTGTTGAGTTCAATCTATAAGGTTCCAAGGATTGGACTTGTCTTGTTTCTAAAACTATGGGTTCATTATATTATTTGTTGCATTTTCAGTAAATTTCTATGCATAAATTTATGTTTCGCGTTGAAGGTATTGGGTTCCAATGAACTGATGTTGTAACTTGCAAAGCTACAACTGCCTTTGGTTTTAAGGTGCTTTTGTTACAAGTGTCTAAGACTTCGTGGACATTGTCTGATGAAATATAAGAGTATTCTCGAATCATATTCATATTCATGTGACATATAAACCACTTTAACATTTTTGCTTTTATTTATTTTTTTGCTAAATAATTATAAGTTGATATTTTTTAAACAGTCAAACCATGAAATATGCAAGAATATCATCATGAAAATATAAAACAAAAGTTAACAAAACTAATTAGGCAAACTAAAATTTCAATACCAGCATTATACTTCTTTTGCTTTAAAATACATTATTGTAAAGTTGTTCAAATGGTCCAAGACAAAAAAAATTAAAAATCAAAGGAATGGGGCGTAAAGACAAGCAGAATCACGATTTTCATTAAATGGGTTTAAAATATGAAAAATATACCCACTAAAAAGTCGAAGGGGGTCAATATTTATTACATATATATATAATATAATTTTAACCATGTATAAACAATATAATTTTCATCGAAGGAGGAATCCATGAGCCTTTATTAGTAGCTCCGCCCTTGGTCAAAGGCATGTGCATGATTTGAAAATTTTGGATGTCACATTACTTCGAATCCAAATAGAGTAAAATAGTGAGTCGATTTGTCGATTTTGAACGTCAGATCAAATAATTAATCTTTTTGAATTATATTAGTCATAAAATTGAATGAAAATAATTATGATAACCTAACGTAACAAAGTTTTTTGTTCCAAGAACTCATATACCCTAAAAAAATGAGTAAATTTTAGATTTAGCAAATATTTTTATGTTATAGTTATAGTTTGCATAATTGCGCTTCATAATAAATTTTATGTTTGTTATGGAGCATCAGATTTGTATAAATCACAGGCAGGCATTTGTTTGTATAAAAGCACATCGATTGTATATGTATATCGGTTAGATAATTGTATATATATAACTACTATGTATATGTATCAATGATTGTGTTTGTATATCTGCATAAAATTTGAATTTGTATACAATTGAATCGAAATAAAACATTTGTATATCAAATCTCTCTCTTGCTTTATACAACACAAATTATTCAGACACAAATTATACATTGTAATCTGAATAATTTGTGTTTGTATAAAGTGAGAAAGGCAAAAGATAACTTATAGGGAAAGATCTGTATTCGTATAATTATAAGTATATATGACGAAAATATATGTATTTGTATTTGTATATACAACACAATTTATACATTTGTGTTTGTATAAAACGAGCAATATCAGGGAGAGTGGCGAATGAGGTTCTTTGGAAAGAGAGGCGAATGACAAGTGTTTGCTACAGATTACAATTAAATGAAACTGTAGTTATAACATTTAATTTGAATTAATAGTTTGTTATTTTATACAATTTTTTAAATTTTTTTTTGTAAAAACCTTGATCAATCAAAAAATTGATAACATACCAAACTCCTAAAAAACATACTCCTAAATAAAGGAATATATTATACAAACAACAACAACAATAACAATGAAATTCACTAAATGTAGTATGAGGATGATAGAGTGTAGGTAGACCTTATCACTACTATTTCTGAAAGACCTTCAGAAAAATACGATATATAAAAAAGAAAATGAAAAAAATGAGAAGACAATAAAAAGGAGTATAAAAGAAAGGTTAAAGGAGACAAATAGGGGAATTTAGAAGAGTTTTCCCGCCCAAAAAAGCAAAAGGGAAAATCTCCCAAAATCTCAATACATTTATAACGCCAAAATCTTTGCTGCCAAATTTAAATTTAAAAGATACATCGCCATATTCTCCTCTCTGATTTCTAGGGTTTCGTTTGAAAAATCGACAATGTCGATTACTGTTAGTGTTTCCTCTCCGCTCTCTCTTTCTAAGTCGGCCACTACTACTTGTAGCTCTCTACTTCAAGAATTGCAGGTATTCTTCTGTTTCATGTTTTTGTTTGTTCGAATGCGTCTTTGAAAATGATTCTTGGTCTTTATTTTTGGGTACCCAGTGGTTTTTGGGAATCAAGATTGTGTTTTAAGGAGATACAATAGAAATACATTCAATTGGATTAGTTTCTTGAGTTTGTATATTCAATCAAGATTTTGGGGTTTTGTGCTTTTCCTTTTTTAACCGTGTGTTTATAGTATGAGTATGAATCAAATGTCAAATTGGGTTGTTATTTTGTTTTCTGGTACACACGTACATCACACACACATAGAAACACCTACATTAGACCCAAGATTTGTGGTAAATAAGAGTTGTATACGATAAGCTTGAACTTTGTGTGTTCAGATTCTTGTTTTTAATTGCTGTGGAGGTGGTTACTGGGAAACATGATAGAAAATTTTGGAATTGATTATTAGTGGGTGTGAGTTTAGTGGTATATGATTGAATATGCCAATAATCAGTCTCTTATTTCTAAGTCGGCCACTACTACTTGTGGCTCTCTACTTCAAGAATTGCAGTTATTCTTCTGTTTCATCTTTTTTTTTTTTGTTCGAATGCATCTTTGAAAACGATTCTTGGTTTTTCTTTTTGGGTACCCAGTGGTTTTTGGGAATCAAGATTGTGTTTTAAGGAGAGATATAATAGAAATATATTAAGTTGGATTAGTTTCTTAAGTTTGTTTATTCAATAAAGATTTTGGGGTTTTCCTTCTTTCTTTCCCCTTTTAACTGTGTCTTTATAGTAAGAGTATGAATTAAATGTCAAATTGGGTTGTTGATGTTGTTGTTCTGTCCTTTTTTCTTTTCTCTTTCTGGTACTCATGTACATCACACATACATACATACATACAAGTACGTACATAAGACCCAAAATTTGTGGTAGATAAGGGTTGCATACTATAATCTTGAACTTTGGGTGTTCAGATTCTTGTTTTTAATTGTTGTGGAGGTGGTTACAGGGAAACATGATAGAATTTTTTGGAATTGATCACAAGGGGGTGTGACTTTAGTGGCATATGATTGAATATGACAATAATCAGTATCTTCTTTTTTTACTTGAATGGAATTGAGAAGAATTGATTATGAATGAGAGTTCTGAAAGTAGGATTCTCTTGGTTGTTGGTGGAACGCATTGGATGTTTCAACAGTTTGTTTAATGTCTTTGACATATTTAGGTTTAATTGTTATATTCTTTATGGGTGGCTCCAGTTTGGCATATCAAGTATTTCATGTCAGTAGCTTTGTTTTTCATGTATCTCTGTATTCTTGTTTCTGTATGATTCATTAATGTATCTGAGTATGTCTGAATTTTTTTATAGCTACTAACATTTGACGAAGTCAAAGTACATCATCTGAACTGGGGATGTCTTGCCAACTGTTTTCATTCATCAGGGCACAAATGAACTTGAACTTCTGGAAATGAGAAATTTGAGATATGATAGCTTTTAGCTTCAAAACTTAGTAGAGATTGCAAATGCTATTGATGGACCCAAGGATGTGGCTTAAATTGCTTAAAGTTATTTTAATTATGCTTTGGTATTAGACATGCCTCTATAGCATGAGCATTTCCATGTATAATCTGGCGTTACTATTTGTATTACTATTATACTTGTTTTCTTTCAGCATTTCTGTTGATTTTTGACATGAATGTTAAGTTGGTTCAATGTTTGTATAGCTGCTTCTTATCTTGTCTTGTTTTCACTTTGGAAGTTATGGTTGAACTCCTCTGTATGTGTTTTCCAAAGGTGGTTCAGCTGCATGATAAGTTTCCTGCTTGATTGTTGCCAGAATATTCATATATAGTTTCCCCTGACACTGTTAGCCAAAATGATTTGCTGCTTGTAAAATTTCCTTTTTCATTTAATTCTAGTTATTAGCTTCTTTCTTGACCATTATCGGAATAGACTTATTTTGCTTTTCTGGCTTACACATTTGATATATAATTGCAAAGTGCAAATGATGTAGTTTAAACACTTCCCTTGAGGTTTTTTAGTTGTAAAAGATTAGAAAGTTTCTGTCTGAATAAAAGAAGGCGAAGAGGTGTTTTCCTTTTTCTTAAACTGAGTCTGTTGCAATGGACTCATTAATATTTGTATTGTGGTGCCATGACCTTACTCACTGATCTACCCAAATACTAATGGTTCAATGGATTCCTGAAAGTAGTTTAGCATTTATTCAAGAATTTTGCTTGGTCTGCTAAGGGAACTATCTTTTGAAGTTTATGTTTCCTTAATTTGGAGACTGATGCATTTTTCTCCTACTTTCCCTCTTGTGTTGGTATGATCTGCTGCATTTTCACTTAGACTTTGGAGTTTGGAGGTAGAATCTATTCAAATAACCTGTCATTTTTTGTCTGAAGGAAATATGGGATGAGATTGGGGAGAGTGACAGTGAGAGGGACAAAAAGCTTCTTCAAGTTGAGCAGGAATGCCTCGACATTTACCGTAGAAATGTAGATAAAGAGAGAAAATACAAAGCTGAGCTGCATCTGTCATTAGCTGAGGCTGATGCAGAAATTTCCAAACTTGTATCTGCCCTTGGAGAACAAGTTTCTTTGCCATTGGTTTGTCCTATGTTTCTTTGGAATCCTTAAACTTCTCCATCATTCAGTATTTTCTTTTTTATAATTAACTCTTTTCTTATTTTCAGTCTGGAAAGATGAAAGGTACCCTGAAGCAGAAATTGGCTGTTATTGATCCTGTGTTAAAAGACATAAGGACAAAGAAACATGAAAGGATTAAAGAGTTCTTGAATATAGAAACACAGATAGCAGCGATTTGTGCAGAAATAGCAGGAAATGACACAGTAATTAGTCCCACAGATATTCATGTAAGTGAACAAGACTTGACCGCTAAGAGATTGGGAGAACTGAAGTCACATCTTCAGGAACTTCAGTCTGAAAAGGTTAGTTAGCTGATTTTTCTGCCTCTAATTTTTGCTGGAATAAAACAAATTACATATCATTTCAATTCAATCTGTTAACTTTTGTCCTTTTCTGCAGAACCTGCGTTTGCAACGAGTCAATAGCTATATGAGCGCAATTCATGACCTTACAGTAGTTATGTCACTTGATTTCAAGAATATAATAGCTAATATCAATCCAAGCTTGGCGAATCATTTGAATGTACAATCAAAGAGCATAAGCAATGAAACACTTGCTAGCTTGACAAGTGAAGTCAATTCACTGAAGCAATTGAAACAGCAGCGGCTAGAAAGGGTGAGCGAATCATCAACCAATCTCTCCATGTTTTGCATTTTACTTTTAGTGGAATAGTCTCTCTAAAATATATAGGGACCAAAGTGCTCGCAAGTTTTTTATTTGTTTTGAGTAGACTTGCATGGATGCATATCATATTAGTGTGCCTAGTGGGGCAATCTTCTTGTTTTTACCACCTATGTATGATAGCTTACAAGTACTGTTTTGTATCAGTCTATGGCCACATAACATTTTGAAACTTGTATTGCTGCAAGTCATTTTTCGCTTTAACTGAATGAAATGATCAAGAAATTGTTACTTCTTTCAAAATTTTAACAACTAAAAATTTAGGTGGGTAACCTGATTGAGAGTCGTTTGGAATGTTATCTGCTTTTGTGGTTAATTTCTGCTTTAGACTTACCCTATCAGAAAACACTCGCTACATATGATTCGTATATTATTATTTATTGCATTATAACCAATGTATTTAATATTATAAGCCCTTGGTAATTATTTAAATATTACCTTATAAAAAATAATGTTGATTCTTTTTACATTTTATTTTATTTTATTGGTGCAGCTTCAAGATCTTGGCAGCTCTCTAATAGAACTTTGGAACCTCATGGACATGCCAATGGAGGAACAACTGAGGTTTAACCATGTTACTTCCTTAGTTTCTTCCTCTGTTGATGAGATAACTAGACAAGGATCCCTTGCCATTCACATTGTTGAGCAGGTACATTGAGTAATTATTCCTTTCTCTTTATCCATTTGAGTCTTTGGGGGGATGCGTGAAAAAATCTGCAAAGATATTCTACTTGGTTTCATCTAAACCAAACTACTTCCTCTACTACCATCTCTTACCGCTTCTCATTTCTATGTTGGTAGGCTGAAGTGGAAGTTGAGCATTTAAATGCTCTAAAGACCAGTAAGCTGAGAGAATTGATATTTAAGAGACAAAATGAGCTCGAGGAAATCTATAGGAATGTTCATATGGATGTAGATAGTGAGACTGCACGCCAGATTTTAATCCAGCTTATGGACTCTGGTACAGTCAGTTTACTTTATCTCATTTCTTTTCTGTGGCTTTGATGTGATTTAACTGTTTGTTCTTAAAACAAAAGTTAATTCTGTTGAAAGACATTTTTTCTTGAATGATTACTATTTCTAATTTCATTGTTTTGTTTCCAACTTATGGTCTGTTCCATTGTTGTGTGCTGGGTTTTAAGTGAAAAAACACTTAAATCCATTTCTGATGTTTTAGCTGCACATGCTTTTTTGGTAGAGGCAAGTGTATGGTGCTGATTCTTAAAAGTAATGGTTGGTTTGGATTTACTTTCATATGCTAAGGGAAAGAAGCTACCCTATCTCGGTCTCATCATCTTTAGATTGCATTTGACTGGGTATTAGCTCTTGACTTCTGACTTGGAAAAGAACAGTGTGTATGAAATCCTTATGTTGGAGATGATATAGTCCTTGATGGCATGTTCTGCTCTTGTGTGTTTTTTCTTTTGAATTGTCAACTCAAAGAAACGTTCGTTGGTTACAACTTGAATTCAGCAGTCAACATCTCCATTAGAAATGGAGGAAACACTCAAACTAGTGGGATCAGTTGGCACTAAGAGAAAATGTTCTTCTAGATTGTGAACCACGTGCAAGTAAACTGAATGTTATGGTAATAAAAGAGAGACTAGCATATGATCTATTTTCCTCTTAAACTGTTAATAATCTACTGAATGAAGTTGACTTACTACATGAATTTTAAGTTTTGACTTTAGATAGGCATTTCAAATACCAACACTAGCCATCACAACCATGTGAAAGGAATTAGTACCTGATGTAGACAAATTAAAATATAGTTAAAAATTGTTGCTTGTCTCAAGATGACTTAGTATGAGACCTGGTGGATGGATTCCTAAGTATAACTCAAAAGGAAGACATAGCTATTGAGGATGAGGTATGCATGGCTCACCTACCAAATCAAACAGCGTTCCCACTGATGTAATGATAATGATACATGAAATAAAATATACCCTGTGATGGATGGAGTGATCAATAACCCTTTTCATATCTAATGGTAAGGCAATGGATAGCTTGTGGACAGATCTAATCGCAATAGGTATCAACCCCGTCAGATGAAACTGAAGGGCTCACAGAGTCACAGTGTTCCCTTCTTAAAACTCAACTTGGCTGATATGAAGTGTTACATGCAAATATCAAATAAGAGGACTTTCATATTTTTCAGATCCTAACAACTCTATGCTGTTCATAAAGTTTGATAGAAGATGGACATGATGGAATAGTTTTGAATTCATAAGGGCCTTTCTTGAACAAGATATTCTAAGGGCATTACATGAACCTATAATGAATATAACCTTGTAAGTTTTCTTTCATTGTTTAGCCATTTAATTACTAGAAACTGTTTGAACAACCTATAATGAATATAACCTTGTAAGTTTTCTTTCATTGTTTAGCCATTTCATTACTAGAAACTGTTTGAACAACTTGGATGTAACCTGTTGAATCATCCCACACTAGATGAGAAGATTAAAGGCTTCAAAAAAACTATTTCCAGAAGTTCTGAAGGGACTCTAAATGAGTGCTCAACTGCAACAAGAAAAGGGATAAAGCATTAACCTATGGTGAATGGGAGGAGACTTTACCTCTTAGATGGCCTAAGCAAGTCATAAACTATTGGATGGATCCTCCTAATTCTATTTACATAAGGCTGAGTAGTGGACAGATGAAACCCACAGTTCTAGTAAGTTAAGCTTTCTGCATTAAAGCAATTCAACTAGCCACCACTACAGTGACTCAGTGCTTAGGCTGTGACTTCTTATCTTTGCAGCCTCTATTCCCACCCTCACAGGAAGATATGAATTCCTCCCTCAATTTTGCTCTCCTCTGTTTTCTTCATGAATGCTCATTATACCTCTAGTGAAAAAATATATATGAAAATTGCTGGGAGAGAGTGTTATGGTCGGTATCAATTGACAGTTAACAACTCTGACTTTAATGATTCAGAAGAGGATATGTATTTTTTTTGTTGAGTTGTGCATTCATTCTCAGTTTTTGTTGAACACACTATCCTGTACTTCGGAGCAGGAAAGCAAATGTTTCCAGGCCTCTTGCATCTTAACATGTCTATAGTTATCATCAGTAGAATTGAAAGATAGACTTCATTAATATTAGGTTGATGTTCTCTTATACAATCTATTATTATAATCCATTACAGGCAGTGATCTCTCTAATCTGCTTTCAAGCATGGATGATCAGGTGGTGAAAGCCAAAGAGCAAGCTTCAAGCAGGAAAGAAGTATTAGATAAAGTGGAGAAGTGGAAACATGCTTCTCAAGAGGAAAGTTGGCTTGATGAGTATGAAAAGGTATACCATCTACATAAATACAGGTGTTTACTTGTGAATTATACTCAGTTATGAATCATATGGAGCATATGTGCATAAAGTAAACCTCTTCCATTTTCCTTTTTTTTATCCTTATGTTGTAGGTCAACTTTATATCAACCGTAGATATGTCATAATCTGATACCCACTGCAAGCTACTTGGGGAAGTCTGGCATCTCAAACTTAGTGTTGGACCCCCTCCACCCCTCCCCTTCCTCTCTTATGGCGAGCTTAAGGCTTAACGTTCAATGCAGTGTGGACTTGCTGCTTTGCTTCACTCAAAAAGTGCTTTAGCGCACACCGAACACACCCACGAGTCTGTCTTAAAAGAGGACAACACTAAATAATAAATATGGTTTTCAAAGCGATATCCTAATTACTAAGAATTGGATAAATATGTTAGTATTTTGGCATAGAAAATTATTCCCTCGGTCCCAATTTAAGTGTCTTAGTTTGACTGAGCATGGAGTTTAAGAAATAAAGGGAGTCTTCTGAATATTGTGGTCTTAAATTAAAGATGGGTGTAGTCCTTTAGATCTTGTGGTCTTAAATTTGCCACGTAAAATGTTGGAATTGGAAAACTTACTAAATATAAAAAGAGACGCTCTTTTTGAGACAGACCAAAAGGGAAAGTGAGACACTTAAATTGGGACAGAGAGTAATAATTTAGTAATGAAACTTTTAGTGACTTGTCATATGAATCATAACTTAAAATGGTTCTGATCTGTATTGACATGGTTTAGAATTCTTTCCAATTATTGCAGTTTTTCAATTCTTTGGTCCATATAATTGTAGTTGTAAGAATAGCTATTTTTCTTCTTGTGGTTACTTAAAATTTCTTGGATTCTTTTTTCATCCATGTCCTTTATTCACTAAAGCTAACACTTCAATTGGACTTTGCACTTAAATACCTAGTAGACACCTGACGCTTTTTCTATGTTTTTTTGTGATAACAGAGACATGCCTGAGGATTTGAGTGCATTGTTAATTTGCTGGGTTTTTCTAAGTTATTGGTTTCTGTAGGCTAGTAACAAATGCTGTGGATAAGTGCAGCCAAAGTACTGTACAATCGGTTGATTATAGTTTGTATCAATCAGTCTGCTTATTCATTTCCATTGCTAAAAGTTGGCCACATTGGTAATTGGTTGTGTCCCACATATTGTTTGAGGTGCTCTCTGTGATACCCCCAGTAAACTGACCCTTTCTGTATTCCATCTTTTTTATGCTGGTATAAAATATGAAGCATAACTGCTTAGTTGCGCGGACTCTTCACTTTTGATGCCGCACCCGTGTCGGACTCTCCAAAAATGCACTACTTTTGGCGAATCCGACACGCACCCGTTGAAATTTTTGAAGAGTCCAAGCAACATAGAGCATAAGTGCAGTCCAGCAAAATTAGGTGATGACTTGATTTGCTCATCCATGCACTTTGTATCATTTTCTTCAATCACAAGTTCTTACTTTTTCAATGCTTGGGTGGCTTGCCTAGTTTTAGTCAGGCATCTTGAGGGAACAAAAAAAAGGACGAAATGGTTGAGACCTGATAGTTTAGAAGCATAACGTATCTCATGCTGCATAAGATATAGTTTGCAACTTGAGTTTCCCACTAAATCATGATTCACTTTTTTTAACAGGATGATAATCGTTATAGTGCTGGGAAAGGTGTTCACATCAATTTGAAACGTGCAGAGAAAGCACGGATTTTGGTCAGCAAAATACCATGTGAGCTTGTACTCATATATCTCCTTTGATCTACACCTCTTCCCTCATCCTCCCCTGATAGACCAGTATTAGTAGCTTCATGATGCACTATTGTTTCCTTTTCGAGGAGAATTATGCTTAATTGTGGATTTCTGTTAATTACTATATGAAGAAGCTTCTTGTTTTTGGTCTTTATCCCACCGCTTTCCCACCTTCAAATTTCATCTGTTCTTCTGGTTACAAACATACTAGTTCACCTATTTCTCTTTGAAATCTTGGTTATCTACTCTGGAAAGTGGAAACTAATATTCGATTTTGGAGACTCTATGGCCTATTTTTTATGGCTGAACAAGTTTTGGTACTTGAAATTAAAGTACCAGTCAGGTCTATTAATTTGGTTTTCTTTTTATTTTTCCTTGTTACTTGGTGTATTACATAACTTTCGTTGATCAGTTAAGCCTAAAAGGTGCTCGTGGTCCATAGCTGATGTGGTAATCATTAACTAAATTATGTTCTTGGACACACTAATAGTATTAGGTTCGACATCAATGTATTTTCAGCACATTCTAATCTTAAGTGTGTTTGAATATTATATGTCAGCAATTATCATATAGTGACTGAAGTCTGAACCTATAATGCAGCTCTTGTTGAAAACTTGACTGCCAAGATAAAGGCCTGGGAGAAGGAGAGAGGAATGCCATTTTTGTATCACAAAGTGAGTTCAATATTGTTTTTTATTTAAGATGATGTTGTGGTACTGCACCTTCAGACCAGAACTTTTTGTGTCTAGGCCCCTCTATTGCATACTTTGGAAGAGTACATCATCTCGCGACAGGAAAAACAAGAAGAGAAACGTAGATCTCGGGTATTACTTTTTATTCTCTTGTCGTTGTCTGATACTTATTTCTGAATCTTTTGTTCAGATGTTAGTGAGGAACTGCTCTTAGCTGAGCAAGGGTCTGGTAATCAGTCTTTTGTTGGCTGTTTTGTGATTATGATTGAAGGGATGGTATATGTTACGTGAATGTAATTGTGTTTGATGCTTCGACCATGCATACCATAGTCAATATAGCATATGTATTTAGATTTGGATGATTGAGTAATGTATATGTTTCAGGAACAAAAGCGGCTCCAAGATCAATTTGCTGTAGAACAAGAAACAATCTACGGTTCAAAGTCTGCCAAGAAACCTCTGGGTAATGCTAACACAGTGCCCGGAACTCCAAATAGTCGACGTATGTCTACACCTTCAGGTCGTTATGGTGCATCCATAGGGGAGGAAAAGAGAGGAAGTGGTCATGTTGGTGCTGCAATACCCGTAAACTATGTAAGCCTTGCAAAGGATGATCAGAAATGTGGATGACTTTAGGACTGTAATTTTGACTTGTAGAAAGGTATACATATCTGCTGATTTTGCACATGCTAAACCCACTGATCCTCTGTGAGGTAGTATAGCATATATTAGAATAATGGGCATGAAAATGCACATATCATCCTCTTCATTTTCTTTACAGCAACTTTTTTAGTAGATGTCTGGTAATATTGCCCCAAGAGCCAAACCATTTTCTACTTTAATAGCAAAGGCTTGCCTTTTAACATAAGTACTACTTCCTCCGTCCCTATTTACTTGTCCATATTTCCTTTTTTAGTTGTCCCTATTTAGTTGTCCATTTTGACAAATCAAGAAAGGACAACAAATTTTTTCCTATTATACCCTTATTTACACTTCTTAAAAATTGTAAAAGTGTATGTTGTTTCCCTCCAATTTATTTCACTTGAATTCAAATAAGTGGTTGTAATTTTGAAGTGAAAAGTTGTCATAAGGGTAAAATTGTAACTTCACTGTGCTAATTATTGTTGCCTTAATTTGTGTGCCATTTCTAAAGTGGACAACTAAAAAGGGACGGAGGGAGTATCTTATATCTTTGATTTTGTATTGCACATGTTCCCATGCTTTGGTTATTGTATGGTTTGTTGTTGCTACTCTTCTTTCTTCAATTGTTTTCATCATGATTTTTCACTACAGTATTTGCAGTACACACTTGCTTTTCCATATTCTTTACTTGAGTCGGGAGTTTATCAAAAATAGTCTTTCTACCTTCACAAGGTAAGGATAAGGTTGCATATATGCCACCCTCCCTAGATCCTACTTGTGATTGGATAAGAAAACAAAGATTTGACTATCATTCACTAAAACACGATCTCTTTAACCAACCAGAAACAAAAAAAAATTCATGAAGTACTAGCTGATATTAAAATAAAAATAGTACAAAAGAAATTGGACTTGGGGCTCAAAGTTGAAATTTTTTGACGTATCACATACTGTAACAACAAAAAGGAAAGCAAAATAAAAAAGAAAAACTCTTTTACTGGGGAGTGTAACTTTTTGGCTTATCCAATTCTTCCCCTTTAGTTTTTTTGTTTTTGTTTTTACATGTCGACTGCAATTCGTTTATACAACTCAGCTGGCAATCTGGGAGTGGCAACGGCCTGTAATGGAGTCGTCATGTAGGTAACAAGTCCAGGGTTTTCACCCATATCAATCTCCTCTGGGCTCAATCCATTAGAAGGAGTCCAATGAAAATGGTGCAACAGATGGCCCAACATAGAGGTCACCAAGTTGATACCCAATTGTGCCCCGGGACACACTCTTCTACCAGCACCAAATGGGAGTAGCCTAAAATCATGACCCTTCATGTCCACATCTTCCTCAAGGAATCTCTCTGGTCTGAACTCCAATGGGTTATTCCACACCTTGGGGTCACGAGCAACAGCCCAGACGTTCACGTGCACGTTGGAGCCCTTAGGAATGTCGTAGCCACCAATCTTGACGTTGGCGTTGGCTCTATGTGGGAGCATTAGAGGAGTTGGAGGGTGTAGCCTTAGCGCTTCCTTGGCCATGCATTGCAGGTATGGGAGGTTGGGGAAGTCTGTTTCGTTCATCACACGCTCGTAGCCGATCACTTGGTCGAGTTCTTCTTGGGCCTTCTGCTGCACTCTTGGGTTCTTGATCACCTCAGCCATTGCCCATTCAACAGAGATTGCAGTTGTGTCCATTCCTGCTGTGATCATGTCCTGTAATTTCAGTGAGATCAGTTCAAAGCTCATCACAATTCACACTCACTATTATAGGTATTCATCTAAACATAAAATCTCATTTTAGCTCTTTTATGAGTATCAGAGAGACTCAGAGCGACAAAAGGCGAATCTCAGTGGATTCTAGCAGCAATCATTCTATCTCCTTTTGTGAGGAAAGTTTATACTACTAATTTGCTTACCCAAAGTAAGCCAATGAGAGTGTCTTCACTTAGGTCATATTTCTGTTGGAGAGTCAACAATGCATCAAAAAAGTGCTGCTTGGCGGCTCCTCCACTCTTCTGGCGAGCAAGGGTGTGCTCCTCCATAATAGCTCGGGTGAGACGGTCTCTACGTTCTCCATGCTTAGAAAAAGCATCCTCATCAAGAGGGAACATCCAGCGAAGCCATGGGATGTGTTCGGCCATGGCAAGGGATGCTCCAAGCTTCAATCCATTGGCAACAATCGCCTTGAACTCGTTTCCTTGTTCATCAATTACACCTTCAAAGTTTTCAAACCTCTTCCCAAAGGCAAGCCTTGTTATGTTGTTGAAGGCCACTGCTCCAAGGTACTTCTTCACTAGCAGACTCTTCCCTATGTTATCTACACAATTACCATATTCTTACATTTAACACCATATGGTTCAAGATTGTACACTCGAAATTTTCACAGTACTAGTGATCAGTAGGTTCAAACCAAACAAACATAGTTTTCTCTACAATTATTGACAACTGATCAGGAATATATGAAAACTTTTTTCTCATAAATGCACTTGAGTGATTCCCATTAGATAGTAGTTACAACAACATATCCAGTGTAATCCGATAAGTGGGGTCAGGGGAGCTATAGTAGCGGGTCTTATTCAAAGTTTGGTCTACCATTAACAACTCACCAACCACACCAGCTGTTTAAGGTGGTGCTTATTCACCATTTATTTTTCTATGTTATTATTATTTGGAAAATGATAGTAGGTTGATATTAGTCAACTCACCATTTTATTTGAGGCCATTCCCAACAACTCCATGGACCCAAAATGAAAAAGAAAACCACCAAATTTATCAACCTCTTACTAGAAAAAGACTATTTTGCTTATCTACTACATGAATACACTTTCATTGCTATAAATAACTTTTTCAAGTATGATAGATATTAACACTGTTAAGTCTTTCTTAAACTTCATATTCCGTCAAACTATGTCACATAAATTGGGAATAAGGGAATAGCAATTAAAGATTGAAAAAAAGGAGAAATTGAAAGCACGCAAATGTGCAAATTAGTAGTATTGTCCCCGAACTATTGGCAGTCTTGAAAACAAGACTCTACTTGACTAACTAAACTTAGTTACACCCTCAATACACTCCCGATATGCCACATGACATAACAAGTGGTATGAAACTCTTGTAGGAGCACTCCCGATATGCCACATGATAACAAGTGGCCTGAAACTCTTGTAGCATGGTTTTCTTAAATGAAAATTGAGAAAAGTATTGAAAACATACCTAAATTTGACGAGAATTTAGGAGCGTATTTCACTAATGTTGAAAGATCATGGATGTGTTAGTTTAAGTAGTGTTTTCAATATTTGTCTCTCAATAAAAGAACTACTAATTACCAACTGAAAATACATTTAAGCAATAAAAAACAAGAATTCAAATTATCAGTAAGAAAAACTTACCAGGACTACTGCAATCTCTGTAAATGGACTCCACCATGGCAGTGACTTCATCTTCTCGAATAGGTCTAAGGGATTCAAGCCTTTTGGCCGTAAAAAGCTCAATCGTACAAACCTTTCTAACCTTAACATAATGAGGACCATAATCAGCCCATATCAGATCTTGTCCATCTCTGCTAAACTTCGCCGCCGATCTGCTCCTATGCCGATCAGCCAACTGCTGGTCCTTTTCTTTCAGAACTTCCTTCGCTAACTCCGAGCTGGAAACGACGACGTTTAAAGTCGACCCGAACCAAACCGAGATTACAGGGCCGTAGGTTTCTGCCCACTCGTAAAAGCATCGGAATCTAACGGGCTTAATCTGGTAGAGGTTTCCGACTACGGGCCATGGAGTTGGGCCCGGCGGGAGCTTGAATCGGAGACGGTAGTAGAGGTGATAAAGTATGTATGTGAAAATGAAAGCTAGAGGAATTGCAACAGGTAAAGGAATGGGAATAGCCATTATTAGTGATATTGAAGAAAAAGAAGGGTAGTAGGTGTTTTTATATTATAAGAGAGGAGGGAAAAACGTCGTGGAGGGAGTTGGTGAAGGGTATTTTAGTCTTTTGAAATATGGTAGTTGGTGCTTTTTGGTGAAGAGTTTTGTCTTGGCTTTTAAGATTAAAAAATGGAAAAACATGAAGGATTGAGGGATTTTTAAATTTGAAAAAAGAAAAATTATTAGATATATGAAGATTTGATTGGTGAGGAAAATGTATAGTCAATGGGTAAAATTGTTAAGGAAGCATGACTTATAATTTCAACTATGAATTTACCTTCTTCTTTTTTTTTAAATTTAAGGAAGTATTATGTACTAGAGTTTTACTCATAAAAGTTCATACTCTGGAATAATATGTTGGAGTTCTTTTTCTTTTTTTTGCATTTTTGTGGAGGGTAATTTTTTTGTTCCTATTTTTCAATTACACGATCGAAAAAAGCTATGCCATACCCTTCGGGGTGGCCCAGTGGCTTGGGCTTGGGACTTCCATGTTGGGGGTCTCAAGTTCGAAACCCCTTGCCAGCGAAAGGAAGGGGTTTGTCTTCTGGGTCGAGCTCGTCACACCAGGCTTGCCTAGTGCGGGTTACCTCTCCTATGTGGTTTGCGAGCTATTGCATAGGAACAAGGATTTTACCCTGTGCGCACCCAAAGGGTAGCGGCTGTGAGTTTTCCTTGTCATCAAAAAAAAAAAAAAAAGCTACGCCATTTTTACTAACTTCATAGTAAGGTCAACATTATGCTTAAGAATTCATTTGCCCATGGGTGAAACCTTTGGTGCAAAACATTGGCGCCCACAGTACAGTTGCTGAAGAACGAAATGTGGTTGGTAAAATGGCACCACTTGAAGACTAAAGTAGGTTATGATGTTTATTGATGAAACAAAGCATGGACAATGAATGAAAGGTTACAATTTTATGCTTAAGAGTCAAGTCTTTGGTATTGATGATGCTGTGATCAATTTGATTAGTACATTAATAATTAGGATTTTGTATAGATCTATGAGTATATATGATCATTGAGCTAACTCAATTAAGGATTCATAATTGATTTTCGACACGCAGAATAGTTCTCTTTGAATAGTAGTATTACAAAAACTTACTGAAATATGTATACTTAGTCATCTACAAATAAAAATATACAAGTAAACAAAATGATTTGTCCTAAGAGATGTTAGAACTTGAACTTGAAGTATCCTGAGGAGCTTCAGATTGGACTTCAACTTGTGGAGCAGGAGCTTCTGGAACAGAGCTTTCAACTTCTGGTGCATTTGCTACTTCTTCGGTTTCTGGTGCAGTTGGTGCTTCGGTTATTGAGGCTTGGACTATTTCCGCTGGCTTAAGCTTGTTGATATAGTAGCTAAGGGATGGTCCCGAGTACTCCACTGTTTGTACCAGAGGAGGTGAGTTCCTCCCAACTTGAAGGAGAACTGATGAAGCAGCTGCAACAGAGATTAAGGCTATCCCAGCTGAAATAGCTGCGGTGTTCTCTGCTCCATCAGATGAGGTGCCTGCAGTCCCAGAGCTGATAGCACTTTCTGCTACATAAACTGCGGGCTGTTGCAAAATTAAGCAACATCAATAACACTGATAAAATAACAGCATTTCATACAGGTTGTCAAACAGTAATATCTCCTCTTACAAACTACCAAAAGAGTGATGATTCAGTGTAACATTGCCAAGATATATATACTTTCACCCATCATATACTTGTTAGTAATTCTGAAGAATTTTAGACAGAATCCTAGCCACATTGATCAAAAACTAAGTGAGAGGCCATCGGGCAGGGTAAAAAATCGAGTTAATCAAAAGAAGCAACACGGCTTGTCTTGTAAAAGCATAAGACTAGCGATTGGTATGTTATGATTCATCATGTGACTCCTTTTTAGATCACTGATATCTCTAGAATATGAGGTCGGAGATCTCTGTACTTCCTCAGCTTTACATGCCTACATCCTTTGGCTATCCACTTGGCTCTAAATATGAGGTCGATTTCTATCATGGTATCAGAGAGTCAGATCCTTCCCAATTCATTGTGAACCCGCTATGATAGTTTTTCATGTCAAAAGCTACTGCATGTCATAATATGAAACTTCCTTTGCTCTATACCACCTGAACAATGTAGTTTCAAGAGAACTGATGTCTTTGCAGAACATAGAAGTACTAACCTCAACAGAGTATATATTTGTCTGCCCAGCAGTATCCTTCTCAACATACCCTGTCCAGCCACGCGGCTTACGAGGTGGAAATGTCCCAACCACTTTGGTGTTGTCCATGGCTACCCATTCCATGCTCACCTTCCCAACCTGTTTCCAATATAAAAGATGAATCACAATATTTTCCAGTGTGAACTACCATCTTGCTAGATGGTATAACATGCAATATTGATCCACTAATGGTTGTCAAAAAGCTATTCAAGTAAAGGCTGAAGAACAAACAAACTCAAAATTACCACAAAGAGTGTATAAGCATCGTTTGCAATTCTGTTTTATGAGCGAAAAATAACAATTACATGCTTCCTGTACACTTGTAAACTGGCTTAACAGTGAGGTCATGAGATGCCGATGGAGCCCCTTTTTTTTTACTGAGACTCCAATTATGTGTTTTCTACAGTAACATCCTCGAAATAGCTAGTTGGAGAGTACTTCTTTAAATATTAATATCTGAAATAACAATTTGACTGCATAGCGACAATTTGTGTCTGAAGCAGGAAACATACATTTGATGTGTTGAAAACAAACATAAATTACTAGGAAAATAAGATGGATTGCTTAGTAAGCAGTATCTGAAAATCAAGCATTCTGGAAGATATGAAAACATTCAAAACGGAGCAATACCACAAAACAATGCTGCAAATTTGGAAACAACTATCAACTGCAACCAAAGATAAGAACTTGTGACAAGTTTTCAGTCATGTCTAGGTAAATATGATAGGTAAGTCCATTGGGAAATCTGAAACTTTTAGTAGTGGCACAGTGTGAAATATGAAAAACGCCTAAAAATGCATTCACTGTCACCATCATGGATAAAATATGAGGCCACATAGAAGTGCATACGGAAACTGAAGATGATGAAATCAGAGGTAAAATTGAAATCATCTATGATTCTGAGATATTATAGAACATGCTTTCGCATCACACATTCTTATTCTCATGATTAACTCTCCTTCCACGGAAAGAAAAGACAAAATGTTGCAATCATGTAATGAATGCAACCTGACATACAATGTATCACAAATAAGCATAACTCATGAAAGAATTTACACCAAGTTTATGCCTTCCTTCACAAACTCATTCAAGAGAAAATACGAAAGCTTCATTATCCACAACCTTCCTACAGCTAGCCATATCAAATGGTCTCTTAGACTCTTACTCCAATACATTTTCTCCTCAAAAGAATTTCAATTTGTGTTGGTCCTTCTCCCAACTCATAGCAAAAGATTTCCTCACTAGACATGGAAAAAGTATTCCACATGCCTCTATATGTATAAACAAATACAACTCTCATGTGCAGCTTTTCCAGAATTAACTCGTCAACCTTATACATTCTAAGTGAAATCAAACTGCTGACATCTTTACTAGTTGCAGCAGTATACACAAATATATCATTATCATCCACAAATGCTAGAGCACAGTATTCACACTCTTTAGGCAGCAACTTTTAGTGTCTCCGGAAACATAAGTTGGCATACTTAAAGTTTATGGGTTCAGAATTCTAGTCCATTCAAGCAACTTGATTCTAAATTACTAATTTGTATTTATTTCAATGGATTTCTTAAGACACATAAAGGGTTTGGACAAAGCTACTTGGTTCAGCCGAACCTATAACCTGCATAATAGCTCCGGCCTGGCCTATAATTACAGAAAATCAGTTATTTCTTTAGACATAATTATTATCCAAGATCGTTTTCGAGAGTTGGCTACGTACCTAAACAATTCCCCAAAACTCTAAAAAAGGGAAAACTTTTCACTAGAGAGAGTGCAAGATTCTACATACCCACTTCCTTTTTTCTACATCTGTCAACAAATATCAATAGAAAAACACAAATTCAACAGTAGTTATATAAATTGAAGAAAAGCAAAGAGGAAATTTGACCTCCTTCTCTGGGGCACATTCTTCAGCATTGCAATCAGAATCATCAGTTGAAGCCCGAATTCTGAATCGAACGAGACTCTGTCTTTGCCTCAATTTTGAGTCCTTTTGGTATGTGGAAAAGCTCAATCTTCCACTGGAAGATGAAGCTATGGTGCAGCTGTTTGCTGATAAAGCAGCACAAGCCATTATCTGCAAATTCGTTTGTAGCCCAAAAATGGTGGTGTCTCTTAGGTATATTGAAGTGATGAAGAAGCAAAACCACTTGTAGAAATTTCTTGCTCTTCGATTGGCTGTGTTTGAGCCTCCAAAATCCTCTTATGGTTTAGTTTTTGTGGTTTGATTTGAATGCACGTTGAGTGGGTTATGAGTCTCTGATTCCATTTCTCTTTTAAATTGACAACTATATCCCTCCCTTATTGTCATTTTGTGCCATTTCCCACACAAGTGTTTGTCAATTTTTATTTATTTATGTTTGGCCTGAAAAAATGAACAAAAGCATGAAATTGATAAAGGAAAGAAATAACAATGAATGGTTTGTTAGATGATTGCATATCTATAGATTATGGATTGAATCTGGGATTTTGAAGGTTATGAGTTTTGAATTCATAATTTATTTCATTTATTGGGTTTGAAATAGACTATTGAGTGGCCCCCAGGCCAAGGCCTAGTTCGAGTGGCAAAAGGTGGAAGATCTGCGGCTTAGGTCGTAGGTTCAAGCTCCACATCACGCAAAGCGAAGCCCGATATTTAAGTAGGAAAGGGTAGAGGGACGGGCCCATTATCCACCGAGTTTAGAAGGCTATAATTGATCTAAAGGGAGGGTCACGGGCGAATTTCACAGTTGTAAAAAGTAAAGACTATTGAGTGAAATTCTTAATAAAGATATAAAGTTTGATTAAACTTATTAAATTATATCAAACTTATAACATATATATATATATATATATTGTTGGGTTTTAAAAAGTGTGAATGGAAAAGGAAGAGTTGCGATTTTTACGAAGAGTTGCGACTTTTATGAAAAGTTGTGATTTTTATGAAATGTTGTGACCTTTTCGAAAAATTGTGACTTTTCCAAAGGGTTGTGACATTTCCGGTAAGGCACAATAAAAACTTTTTCACACTATCCTTTGTTTTCTATAAATTGAGGGATTTCCTCTCATTCTAAGAGAAGCAATTTTGTGGACTTCTCCTACTACTACTAAATCTAGTATTTTAAGTGTACTTTACTATCGTTGAGTGGTTCGCTGACACTGTGATTTTAGGTACCGATACACTGGTGAGTAAGATCGTTCTATTTTGGAAGGATATATTCCATTAACCTCAGGTACTTGAGGGGAATAATAAGGGGAAAATGTGCATTCAGTGGGCTCGATTTTCTTTCTTTGAGAAAAATATTTTGTATATTATTTCTAATATGTTTTTTATTCTATTTTCTCTACTAGTTTTAATTTTCTAGTTTTGAAAATACTCTTTAAACTTTGTTGTTTCTTATCAAAATCTTCAAAATTTTGTTCTAAATATCTTAAGAATACAAGATGAACAACATATATTACAAGAGATTAACCAGACCCTACAAGTAAAATGTCTTAATTTGAATCGAAGTGGCATGTGACAAATTATAACACCATAATGAGTCGACGAAGTAGAGCAAGCTTAAGATATGTATGTTTAACAATATAGGTAGATAGACTAATTATATGCCAAATAAATCCATCTCAACCACCTTACGGGAAATTCAAATGCATCAGTCACGATTTGAGTTTTTTAACATATATTTTAAGATTTGAGTTTCTTAACATATATTTTAGGCTAAAGATATTAAATGATTATACTATTTGATATTTTGGTGTGAATGAGGTTTGATTTAGTAATCTTTAAAGTTATCTTATGAATAAAAAAATGAAGAAATTTTTTCAAACGTACTAAAGAGCTAGAAAAGAAATCATATATATATATAAAAGAGAATCTTAGGCCCGCCTACGTGGCGCCACCACAAACCAGAATTCACTTTTAATTTATTTATTTTCAAAACTAGCTTTCTCCTTTCATGAAAAGTTGTGACTTTTATGAAAAGTTATGACTTTTATGAAAAGTTGCGACTTTAATGAAGAGTTGCGATTTTTATGAAAAGTTGTGACTTTTATAAAAAACTGCGACTTTAATGAGGAGTTGTGACTTTTATGAAAGGTTGTGACCTTTCCGAAGGGTTGCAACTTTTCCAAATAGTTGTAAATTTTCGATAAAGCACAATAAATATTTGTTCACACTACCATAAATAGAGGAATTTCCTCTCATTTTAAAACAACGAAAATTCTGAACCTCTTCCTCTTCTTATTCTTCACAAATTAAATATTTCTGTAATTTACTCATGTTGAGTGCCTCAGTGACACCATTGCTTATGTTACAGATTCTGATATGTATTTTTACAGTCATTAATTTTTGTTTATATTATTAAGGATAAATGATAAGTTGTAATAATTTTTATCTTCCTTTACATTATTATTTTTTTATGTAGGATAATATAATGTTTTAGTTTTAGTGACTGATATGTTTCAAGTATTATTATATATATTCCGTGATATTAAATTCTCACGCGAAGCGCAAATAATTTTACTAGTATAATAATAAATTTAAAACAAATCAATTTAACATTCTTTCAATTTATTCTAATATGTTTATGCTCAGGCATACATGACTGAAATACATACTAAAGTTGATTAAAGTTTTAGTTAAATACTTCATAAATAATATATATATATATATATACATATTCTTTCACCTTAAATTATCTAATATTAAATATTTGTACCAAAAAAAAACATAAAAATTATTACTTGAACAAAAATATATTTCAGTGGACTATGTTGGGCCTTTTCTACTTATGGTGCAGTCAAATAGAAAGGAATTGAAAACTACAACAGGCCCTCCAAGACGGTGCAATCTCATAGGGGAATTTGGGCCAACCTTTAGAGACCATAATTCTAAGTGTAACTGTTTTTTATGTAGACGTTAACTTGCATCACGTAAATTGTAATCTTGAATCATCTTTTTTTCTCCGAAAAGTCTATAGTTCTAGATTGAATTAAGGCATATTTTTTCTTTGTTTAAGGTCTGATTCAGGTTCAACATTTGTCGGTCTATATAAAATACCAGGTCGGATATGACCCTATCATTCCTTAACACATCGATGCCCTATATGTTTTAGCCCAATTAAAATTTCGACGAGTTGATCTAACTCTCTCATTTGACACCTTTTCTTTTCTTTAAGCTTCTAGCACATTACAGTCCTCTAGAGGGACTTCCTTTTTAGCATGACCAGTTCCTTCATCCCTAATCTAATCTTTTTAAATAGAATATACATAAGTTAAAGTATATATTTATTTATTTTCATATTTAATTGGTCAAAAAATTTAGAATTTATTTTCTCTAAAAACACAAGTTACTTAAAAATGAGAAATATCACGATAAAAGTATGGAAAACAAAATTCATAAATGGCGACCCACGTTATTAATTGTCTCCTCTCCGTCCTATAATATACCACCCTTCCGCTTGTAATGTTTGCTCGGATTAATATATAAAATACTTTTTAAAATAATATTTTCTATTTACTTAACAAATACAAGAAAGAAAAAAGGAAATTTATTTATTTATCATTTTAAAAAAAAAAAAAAATCTCCGTACCAATCTATATATATATATATATAAAGCTGGATATAGAAAATTTGATGTGGCACCTCTCTATGACCAGCATTTCTATTTATCTTTTATCTATTTTTTTTTGATATTTTGTTTTTGTTTTCTATTTTTTATTTGTAATTTTAAAAAAAAAAACTGAAAGATATTTTAATGCATTACATCATGCTCCTTTAAAACTTCCATCATACTAATACACATTTAAGTAAATGGAAGATGAAAAGATCAAAACATTTTCATGTTTCATAACTGTTTATGATTATTTAGCCTATAAAATAAAATTGAGTATTGTAATCAACAATAGTGGAATCCTTCACTTTCTCTCTTCTTCTTCTAATGATGATGATGAATGTATGGGTATCAAATTTTAATATTGAGATGTCGAGCAAACTAGACCTTGTCATTTTTTCAAGAAAAGGGAAAGAGAGAGTATCTCATGATCCTTCTAAAGATATTGGTGAAAAGAGAAAGATTATGTAACAAAAATTTCTTTTCAAAAGATTATGTCAGGGTTTAGGGTTTAGGGTTTAGGTTCAGGGTTTAGGGTTTAGGGTTTAGGGTTCAGGGTTCAGGGTTTAGGGTTCAGGGTTCAGGGTTTAGGGTTTAGGGTTTAGGGTGTTGATTTCTTCTATATTGAGAGAGTAAAATTTCATATTGATTAAGAAATTTATAGGAAGAGTGATTAGTATTTCAAAGGGTAAGAATATTTATTTAGAGAAAAAAATCAATATACTTAGGAAATTAGTATTAAATTTAGGAGAAGAATAAGTATTCTACTAACTCCTTTCTTATTTTATTATGTCATAATTTCTTTGTATATATCTTTAATTAAACTTTATTTTATCTTTTGTTATTTAGCTTTACTTAAAATTTACAAACGACATTATTTCTTCTTCTTTAGGCTACTAATTTCTTTCTTCTTTTTTTTTTTTTTTTTTGTGTCTTTAATTAAAGTTTTTATGTATTTTTTTTAATTTCTAATGCCTGAAATTTTATTTGTTTATTCCTAGAATCTAACTATTATAACTACTTAAGAATTGTAGTTTTTTTTTTACGGAATTTGGTTTTGACATTTTTCTTATAAATTTTAGATCATTTCCTAGTCCAACATTGATAATTATATGTTTTCAAAAATTGTGACTTTTTCAAAAGGTTGTGACCTTTCCGGTAAGGCACAATAAGAACTTTTTCACACTACCCTTTGTTTTCTATAAATTGAGGAATTTCCTCTCATTTTAAGAGAACCAATTTTCTGGACTTCTCCTACTACTACTAAATCTAGTATTCTAAGTGTACTTTACTGCCGTTGAGTGGTTCGCTGACACCGTGATTTTAGGTACCGATACACCGGTGAGTAAGATCGTTCTATCCTGGGAGGATATATTTCATTAACCTCGGGCACTTGAGGGAATAATTTCCTTAAGGAGACACTGTGCATTCAGTGAGCTTGATTTTCTTTCTTTGAGAAAAATATTTTGTATATTATTCCTAATCTGTTTCTAATTCTATTTTCTCTACTAGTTTTAATTTTCTAGTTTTGAAAATATTCTTTAAACTTTATTGTTTCTTATCAAATCTTCAAATTTTTGTTCTAAGTATCTTAGTAATATAAGATGAACAACATATATTACAAGAGATTAACCAGACCCTACAAGTAAAATGTCTTAATTTGAATCGAAGTGGCATTTGACAAATTATAACACCATAATGAGTCGATTAAGTAGAGCAAGCTTAAGATGTGTATGTTTAACAATATAGGTAGATAGACTAATTATATGCCAAATAAATCCATCTCAACCACCTTAACAATATAGGTAGATAGACTAATTATATGCCAAACAAATCCATCTCAACCACCTTACGGGCAATTCAATTGCATCAGTCATGATTTGAGTTTTTTAACATATATTTTAAGATTTGAGTTTCTTAACATATATTTTAGGCTAAAGATATTAAATGATTATACTATTTGATATTTTGGTGTGAATGAGGTTTGATTTAGTAATCTTTAAATTTATCTTATAAATAAAAAAAATGAAGATTTTTTTTCAAACGTACTAAAGAGCTAGAAAAGAAATAAGTTTATAAATAAAAAAACACTTCCACTCTAATTTTAAAATTGGAAAGATAGGCACGTACTTCACGGGCCGCCACCGTCGCCTTCGTCAACTGATATAAGTAGTGTTGTTTAACTTTGTTTTCATTATCTTATATGTGTATATAAATATATACACATATAGAGAGATAATGGATAACAAAATATCCTGATGGAAGTTAAAGATGAAATCAAGTTTAAAAAAACACTCTCATTTGTTCTAGCCATCTTGCTAGATAGAGTTATTTGATATTTCCATTGCTAATAAAAGGTGACAGATATCCCGTACATGCTTGAACATCACGGTCATTAAAAAAATGGAATCAATTCACACTTTTGTTCGGTCCCAGAATTTCCTCCTCTTCTTAAGCTATAAGCCCAATTCCCAATGTAGACCTGGATCTCATTTTCAAACTCACTGTAGACTGTGTAATTTCTAATGCACATGATGAACATTGCAAATTTGCAATAGGCCAAACACATATATAGCCCCTCTAACTTGTTCATATTTTTTTATTTTGACACTTTATTTTAGCATTATTCTATTTTAATCCTTAAATTCCATTTTTTATGTTTCATTTTAATACGAAATATTATTTTTATGAGTTCTTTATTTTTATATATATTTTTCAATGGCAACTTCTTATTTTAAATTGACATGTGTCAGTTAATTTTAGTTAAAGAAAATAAAAATAATTCTTTTTAAAAAATAATAATTTTTTTTTAAGAGTGTTATGTATTTTTGTGTGAAAAATAACCGACGAAATTATGTTGGTTTTCTTTCTTTAAAATCACCGACAACCTAACAAAGTCAGTCAAGTTTTAACATTGTTTAGTAGTGATATTAGCAATGAACAAGAGTCTTTTTTTTTAGTAGTGTCATTAACAAAGTCAATCGAGTCTTTTTGAAGATGAGTTTTTTTTATTCGTATTGATTTATATTAAAAATTAAAAGTGAGTATTTGCGTTAAATTTAAATAGCCTAGATGAAAAGAAAAAATAAATAAGTAGTGTTATTTAATTTAATTGAATGTTTAAGAATGAAAATCAAAGAACTTTCGTCAATTTATTTTCATGCAAAAATACAGAGAAATATCAAAAAATAATATTATTGTTTGAAAATTTTTATGTTCGTTCGCGAATGTTTAATTTTTTTACGAAAATTAACAGGCACACGTCTATTTTTTAAAAATAAGAAATTGTTATTGAAGAACATAAATAAAAACAAATCATAAAAAATAGTATAAGTGTTTAAATTGTACATAAAAAATGGAGTTTAAGGATTAAAATGAAATAAGGTTAAGTTGGAGTGTCCAAATGAAAAATAAAAACATGTTTGAGAGGTTGCGTATGTGTTTGGCCTTTGGAATATGTATCTTAGTATTAACTATCATTTATTTGGTTCTGACAACATGTACTAACCTCATTTATTTCTTCCCCTAATTTTCTTCTTCTTCAATTAATTTGCAGCTACACACCTGAACAATTCACACACACAAAAAAAGAATGTCCATATTTAACTTACCTGCAGATTCTGGGATCAGCCTCAATTACGGCATCGCCATGGCCGTCGGCATTTTGATTCTCATTTCCATCATCATGTTCGCCTCCTACGCTTGTCTTCGTGTAAAATTAGCCGGAGATTTTACGCCATCATCATCGTCTTCTTCAAATGAGACTAATAATAATAATTACAACATCTATAGCTACTTCCTCGGATTGGATCGGCTGGTTATAGAGTCATTCCCCAAAGTAGTGTTGGGTGAAAGTAAGAGATTGCCTAGTTCGTTTAGTGATACGAATACATGCGCAATATGCTTGTGTGAATATTGTGTGAAGGATTCCGTTCGTTGTATACCGGAATGTAATCACTGTTTTCACGCCGATTGTGTTGACGAATGGTTGCAGAAGAGTGGGAGTTGTCCGATCTGTAGGAGCTCTCCGGTTTCTACCTCCGCAGGTTCAACACAGCTGCCTGTGCGTAATTATTACATGTTTAATTTTGTATAGAATTAGTTCTAGTTTGAAATATCTTTATTTTTTAGTTTGAAATATCTAATCATTCTCACACTCGAAAGTCTCTTTTAGCTCGTTTTCCCTAGTAAAAAAATTTATCCTATAGTTTGTGTTAGGAGATGATGATCAAAACGGTTTCTTAGTGTATGGGCTTAGGTTCCATTTTGTTCTTAATGTATAAATATAATGGAAATAACTTTTAATATATCTTAAAAAGTGATTAGTTTGATCATGAGTTATCTAAGTAGGCGTTTGGCCATGCGATATCATATCATGATAGGGTATCGTGAGATGAAATCAGCGTTTGGACATGCGATTTTACGCTGATTCCATATTCTCAAAAAATCATGATTGGAATTATATGGTAATTCCATATCATGATTTGAGATATTTTTAATACAAAAATTGATCCACAAGTTTATAATTTGTTAAAACAACCCCACCACATTTATATCTACTAACCATTTATTTCATATGTAAATAAAATTTATAATCACATCATTACTTTTTAAAATAACATAAAATTTATTATTCTCACCAACATATAGTCACTTTAACTCACACCAACCGATTGTTAAAGTGATGAAATATTTATGGTCTATGAGCATGAAAATATAGTTGCGGATGGTATTGACCAACAAATGGCTCAAAGTAACAATGTTGGTTCGTCTTCTCGGTCACATGATCGAGAAATGCAAGTTCAACTTGAGAAAATTATCCATATTATGTGGGAGAATTATATTAAAGACTAGTACACTACAATTTATGTTCAATTTTTTTTAATTAAATTAAAATTAGATGAAACAATTACTTAAGTGGAGAACAAATAGCTTTGTAATAATTTATTATGCGATTTTATAAATTTTTATTTTTTTGATAAGATTGAATAAACAATTGAGGCTATTTTAATAGTTTTACAACTTATGAGATTTTTATGTTTATGAGAAAATATACAACACAAAAATTTCATATCGTATGTCCAAACAAAACTTCAATTTCATCTCATGATTCCATATCATGATACCATATCATGATTCCGTATCATGATACCAGATCGCATGGCCAAACGAGAATTAAAATATATTTGTTGTAATATAAATTTAGAGAATAGAATGTGATTATTAAAAAAAAGGGAAAAAGGACATATTTACCCCCGAACTTTAAAAAATTGTACGTGTATGCCCTCCGTTATACTTTGCATTCACATAAGCCCTTGCCGTCCAATTATAGGTACAGACATGCCCCTCTCACTAACGGCCCCACATTTTTTACACGTGTCTTAAATCTAATCAACTATTCATTTGACCTTTCTTTGTAACCCATAAACCAACTACCCGCCCCATAAACTCAATACCCACCCAATTTCCTCTAAGATATATCCTAATTAAAAGACCCAGAATATGATGTTTAAAATGTTGGTGGAGCTGCTGATGATGCCGGTGTTTCAACAAACACCTCATCATCATCCTTCAGCGACTCATACCTATACCCATAATCATATCCATATTCCTCAGCGGCTTGTAGCTCAACCCTAGCTGCCTCCTTCGAAGCCAAAACCAACAACCTTTTGATCTCCTCCCTCCTCACCACCGAACTCCTCCATTTCCGCCTAACCATAAAACCTAACACCGGTCTAAAAACCACCACGAACGCCGCCACCACCAATCTAGAGAGAAACCCTAGATCCCCTCCCACGAGCATTTACACAAACCCACAAACAACAACAGATCACATCCAAACCCTAATCCTTCCAAATTCATAGAGCTCTATACCACCCCTCCACCGATCACGATGTTGAAAATTCTCCACCACACAAAGATCAAAACTTTGCATGCACACATAATTCAATCAACCAAAATTGTGGAGAAATCAAGAGAGAAAAGTGCAATAAAGTCACTGGAAGAGAGAAGATTCTGACCCAAAGAGAATTTTTTTCTCCTAGAACAAGAATTTAGGGAATTTTTTTAAAGTTTGAAGTTTAGGGGAAAATTGAAAAAGGAAACTAAATAATAGGATTGTCACGCCCCGAGCTACCCCCGAGACGCAGACACGGGACCTAGGACCACAAGTGACCCCAAACTAACCCTGCTGGCATGCTCATGAGCATACTAAAGAAAATAAACTGATCCGGAAGCTAAATCATAAATAAAATGAAAAAAAGATGGGGAATACCCATATACTATAACTGAGATAAATGAAAACTGATGAGTTTAATACAAAGAAGATATTAACTCAATTCTAAGCTGAATCTAACTATGTCTGAAATAAGCATCTAAACTAACTAGAAGTGTTGGGAATCGATCTAAGCGTGATCTAGATACTGAGAACCTGAACATACATCACGAGAAGATGTAGCGTATGTATGCGTCAGTACTTGAAAGGTACTGAGCATGCATGATAGAGTAAAGCTGAAATAACATATAACTGAACAAAGTAATAAAACAATAAAATAATCTGAACATGATATAGATACTGAAAATAACTTGTTTGAATGTTTTTACTTATATTGTATTGTTATTATGTAACAATGAAAAGTTCTATTTTATATAAGGTTCAATTTGTTGTATTGTCATTTTTTTAGGGAAAAAGGACGGATTTACCCCCGAACTTTAATAAATTGTACGTCTATGCCCTCCGTTATACTTTGCGTCCACTTTAGTCCCTGCCGTCCAATTATAGGTACACACATATCCCTTTCACTAACGGCCCCCTCATTTTTTACACGTGTCTTAAATCTAATCAACTACCCATTTGACCTTTCTTTTTAACCCATAAACCAACTACCCGCCCCCATAAACCCAATACCCACCCAATTTCCTCTAAGATATATCCTTGTAACACCCCGAATCCAAAACATAGCAAAAATGCAGATTTTGAAAAGTTGCAGGTGCAACCCACGGTTGCCATCCACGGCCCGTGATGGTGGTTCGTGGTTCACCACTGCAACCCCTCCCCAAACCAGCTCAGAAAATTAGCTAAGTCCCGACTCACGGACAGACCCACGGTCCGTAGATCAGACCACGGTCCGTGGTCCGTGGATCGAGACTTCCCTTACCCAGCCTCTGACAAAAACTACGGTCGACAACACGAACCGTCATTCGATGCACGGTCCGTAGGTCTGACCGTAAATGAGGGTCAGCAGTCAGTTAGATGAAAATTGTGATTGAGTCAACTTTAGATGGTCATAACTTTTAGCACAAAAGGAATTATGTGTTCCATGACCTATAATATGATAGATAATAGAATTCTCTTTTCAACGCCACCGAGTTTGCTAAAATTCGACATCCGAGTAAAAAGTTATGCTCGTTTTAGTGAAGCCCTGTCGGGCAGACTCGACCGACGACTCCAATCGACGGACCGTCGATTGACCTACGGCCCGTCAGTGGGTCTTTTGGTTTTTTCCTATTTCGTTTAACCCCTAAGATACGTCGTTTAAACCCTAAATCATGAGGTTTTAGTCAGTTTTAGCCTAGAAACATAACTAGGACTTACCTAAGTCAAATTATTAATCAAACTTAGAAAAATTAGAGCGTAAGAGGAGAAGAGAAATCAAGAACCCTAGTTCAAGAACGCAACAGGTTTTCTTCAGTTCCAACCCAGAAATCAAAGGATTTCTCCGTGGAATTCATCACCAGGAATGTGGGATTTCACTAGTGGGTTCCTTTCGCCCATTAGGTCCCTAGAATTCAGTCAGATTCTTGATTCCATGATTATGAACAGACCTAGGGTTTCTAGAATTTCAACAGATCATCATGAATTAGTTATTTAAATGTTCCAAATCAGATTATCATGTTATTTCTCAGTTTATTGAATGAATTTCAGAACCCTAGCTATGTATTTCTTTAGTTCTTGAATTACACATGCTAGGTCAGATATCTCAGTTATTCAATTATACATGCCTCAGTTATTAATGCATCATTATTAGAATAATTATTGCATTCTCAGTTTGCATGTTCAGTTTTAAGCTATCCAGTATTTTACATAAATTCAGTCATAACCAGTTAATCACTTAATTCATTGGGAGTAGCATAATACCGAGTTGGACTAGGGTTCAGCATACCTATATACGAGCCATATATGTGTAAGTCCCCTCTGTGGGCAACATCAGTTTAGTGATCATGCCAGCATGTCTCTACACCTTTGGCCGGGTGTATTGGGTCCTCGCGATGGGGCGTATACATCGGACTCTACATTTAGCTCATGTGGTTTGATGTTGGTTATTAGTAGCTCCCACAGTTCAGTCAGACTCTATTGCATTGACCATATTTCAGTACAGTCAGTATTCAGTCTCAGCATGTTATAAATTTGGTCATTGCATCAGTTAACTCAGTATTCAGTATTTTCAATATCTATATCATGTTCAGATTATTTTATTATTTTATTGCTTTGTTCAGTTATATGTTATTTCAGCTTTACTCTATTCTGCATGCTCAGTACCTTTCAAGTACTGACGCATACGTACGCTACATCTTCTCGTGATGTAGGTTCAGGTTCTCAGTATCCAGATCACGCTTAGATCGGTTCCCAATCTCCAGTTCAGCAGAATCGGTGGTGATTCTTCAATCTCCGAAGACAATAGTCATGAGTTTCTTTTTAGTATTTTTAGTCTTTAGTTTCAGATTTTCTAGACTTAGCTGGAGCATGTCCCAACACTTCTAGTCAGTTTAGATGCTTATTTCAGACATATTTAGATTCAGCTTAGAATTGAGTTAATATCTTCTTTGTATTAAACTCATCAGTTTTCATTTATCTAAATTATAGTATATGGGTATTCCCCATTTTTTTTTCATTTTATTTATGATTTAGCTTCCGCATCAGTTTATTTTCTTTAGTATGCTCATGATCATGCCAACAGGGTTAACTTGGGGTCACTTGTGGTCCTAGGTCCCGTGTCTGCGTCTCGGGGGTAGCTCAGGGCGTGACAATCCTATTATTTAGTTTCCTTTTTCAATTTTCCCCTAAACTTCAAACTTTAAAAAAATTCCTTAAATTCTTGTTCTAGGAGAAATTTTTTTATCTTTGGGTCAGAATCTTCTCTCTTTCAGTGACTTTATTGCACTTTTCTCTCTTGATTTTTCCACAATTTTGGTTGATTGAATTATGTGTGCATGCAAAGTTTTGATCTTTGTGTGGTAGAGAATTTTCAACATCGTGATCGGTGGAGGGGTGGTATAGAGCTCTATGAATTTGGAAGGATTAAGGTTTGGATGTGATATGTTGTTGTTTGTGGGTTTGTGTAAATGCTTGTGGGAGGGGATCTAGGGTTTCTCTCGAGCTTGGTGGTGGCGGCGTTCGTGGTGGTTTTTGGACCGGTGTTAGGTTTTGTGGTTAGGCGGAAATGAAGGAGTTCGGTGGTGAGGAGATCAAAAGGTTATTGGTTTTGGCTTCGGAGGAGGCAGCTAGGGTTGAGCTACAAGCCGCTGAGAAATATGGATATGATTATGGGTATAGGTATGAGTCGCTGAAGGATGATGATGAGGTGTTTGTTGAAACACCGGCATCATTAGCAGCACTACCAACATTTTAAACATCATATTTTGGGTCTTTTAATTAGGATATATCTTAGAGGAAATTAGGTGGGTATTGGGTTTATGGGGGCGGGTAGTTGGTTTATGAGTTAAAAAGAAAGGTCAAACGGGTAGTTGATTAGATTTAAGACACGTGTAAAAAATGAGGGGGTCGTTAGTGAAAGGGACATGTGTGTACCTATAATTGGACGGCAAGTACTTGTGTGGACGCAAAGTATAACGGAGGGCATAGACGTACAATTTATTAAAGTTCGGGGGTAAATCCGTCCTTTTTCCCTAAAAAAAATGACAATACAACAAATTGAACCTTATATAAAATAGAACTTTTCATTGTTACATAATAACAATACAATATAAGTAAAAACATTCAAACAAGTTATTAGGGGTTGTTGGTACGCGGGATGTGATAAACAAAATATATACTTACCTCTTATTTTATTCCACCATATTACTATTTTAGTATAAATAATAGGATCGATTAAATAATCTCAAGATTAACTAACACTCAAATCAAATAACAAAATAAAGTTATTTTGAAATTATTCTCATCCCACATACCAAACACAAACACGCCTTGATTTGTACAGTCAACTGACTGTGAAGGTAATCCCTGAGCCTTCTAATTTCTCATCCATAACATTGGAAAGTCTCTCAAACATGGAAGGTGTAAAATAATTCCTCCAATCCCCAATCTCACCTTTCCTGAACAAATCTCTGTTTTCAAAGTCTGAAATTGCTCCTTTCCCTTGCTTATTCACCTCTAAATCTTTCATGTTCTGGAAACTACAAAGATTTAAGATATCTTCAATTACTCCTTCTTTTTCCTCTTCCTCTGTAAAAGGGAACCCCAAAAACTCGCCTAATTTCTTCAATTGATTACATGCATCTACTTTCATCTCTTCATATTTCAAGAACAACACCTTGTTTGGTGCAGTTTCTCTCCAGTAACTCAACATATGGTCCCAGTAAGGACCATACCCTGTAACTCCTCTGCAATACAAATCGAACGCTTCCTCAATTGGAAGAGGACCCAGAGATTCAGGCCTGATTTTGCAAAGGTAATGCCAAATTGATACAAAGGTATCAAAAGGGTTCCTGCAAATGTAAATAATTTTGCAATTTGAGGTCTTAATCGAATCGGGTAATGCACCGAAAGGTACGTGGGTAGCGACAATCCTCGGAGAAGGAAGGAGGGAGAGATCAGGGAGGCGGTTAGAATCAGCGTAAAGTTTGTACTCGAGGAAGGGTACGAGTTCATGAGGATTGTGAGTGAGCAAAGGGTGGTTATGGTTAACATTGAAGTTGTTCCGGTTAACAATGGCGAATGTGAGTGCTTTTAGCCAAGTGGTGCCGGATTTTGGTATGGTGGCGAGTATCACGTCGGTATCTTGAGCTATAAAATGATTTTGTATAGAAATTATGGCTCGGATTTCCTTGGGTTGACACCAGAAGCCTTGGAAGAGGAACAAATTGGGTGTTCTCCATCCTTTTTCTTTGGGTAGAGAAGTAAGAAACTCATCAAGCTCTTCTTCACTTAGAGTTTCTTGTTGTTTTGGTTTTCCAGTGATCGATTGGCTGTTGAAGATATGTGTGGTGCCTGTCATTTTTGTGTGTTGTGATGACAAGGATTTGATTTTGCATGAGAATATAGAGCTACATATATAGTAAAATACTAGTAATAGATGTGGTCCGCAGTATTTTTATAGTATTAAAGTTCGATTAATTCAAATTTGTGAAGAGCTCCATTCGGGACATAGCTTTGCTATTAAAGATTTGTTTCATATTTAAGGCTTCAAACACAAGTTCTCCATCCTTTTTATTTGGGAAGACAAGTAAGAAACTCATCAAGCTCTTCTTCACTTAGAGTTTCTTGTTGTTTTGGTGCTTTTTGTGATGAATTGGTTGTTGATAGAATTTGTGAATCCTGTCATCATTGTGTGTTGATGACAAGGATTTTATTTTGTATAAGAAAATAGAACTAGATATGTAATACTAGTAATAGAAGTAAAAATGAAAGCTAGTAATAGAAGTGGTGGGGTCGACTAGTTCAAATTTGTGAACGGCCGACTCTAGGGGCGTCAAAAATAACCCAATTATAGCTAATTCACTTAATCCGTCCATTTGACATCCCTAGTTGGTTCCATTCATGACATAATTTTGCTACTAAAGATTTTTTAATATTTAAGCCTCGAAGTCGAGACATCTATTAAAGAACGAACAACCATACCTATAGTATCAGTAGCAGAGCCAAAATTCACTAAAGAAGTTTGAGAAAAAAAAGTAAACACACAAACTAATTCAAAGAGGTTCAATATTAACGTTATATAAAAAATAATTTTAATCACGTATGTAAAGATATATTTTTCCGAAATGAAACCATTGGATATAAGCTGGCCACTGTGCACCACATCTTTTGATGTGGTATAGCCTATGTGTTGTCAACTTAATACGCATGAAATAACATGGCAGATTTACAGATAGGTAACGTCCTTTAAAATACTACCCAGTTTATTTTACTCGCCATTTATTCATAAAATAAATTCTCATTTTTATTTATTATTTTTGACATATTAAAAAAGATAATTATTTTGTTCGTGTTTTACCCCTATCATTAAACATTATTTTTCATATCATTTTCCAAGACCTAATACTAAACATTAATTAGTAGGAACAGTATGGTAAAATACTTACATTAATAATTATTTTTTTAATAAATTATATTTAAGTCAAGTCAAACAGTAACAAGTAAAAATGAACGAAAGAAATATATATTAAATAGAGTCTGAATTTTTAGGAATAATTTCTATTATTTTTTTTAGTGTTTATTTGGGAAAATCCCGACTCTAAGTTGGCTCGGCCCTAAACTGTATTGCACCACAGCTTTTGATGTGGTATGGCCTACTTTATACTCATGAAAAACATGATAGATTTAGAGGTAGGTAACGTCCCTTAAAATATGTATTTGAACAAAAAAATTTTTATCTATTTCTAGAGACTGATTTTTTAGGTGTAACTTCTGTCATTTTTTTAGTGTTTAGTATATTTTTTTTGGTTTCATACTTTAAAATTACTTAATACGCATGAAAAACACGGCAGATTTAAAGGTAGGTAACGTTCTTTAAAATATGTATTTGAACAATTTTTTTTATCTATTTTCTGACTTTTTAGGTGTAGCTTTTGTCATTTTTTTTTTGGTTGCATATTTAAAATTAACTTAATAGGCATGAGAAACATGACAGATTTAGAGGTAGGTAACGTCCTCTAAAATATGTATTTGAACAATTTTTTTATCTATTTTCTAGAGACTGATCTGTCATTTTTTTAGTGTTAAGTATAATTTTCTTGGTTGCATACTTTAAAATTAACTTAATATGACAGATTTAGAGGTAGATAACGTCGTTTAAAATATGTATTTGAACAATCTATCTACTTTTTAAAGACGGATATTTTAGTTGTAACTTCTGTCTTCTTCTTTTTTGTAGCGTTTAGTATAATTTTTTTGGTTGCATACTTTAAAATTTGGTGAAACTTTTTTATGTTAATAAAACTTTCCTTTTTTTTAATTAAAAAATACTTCATACTATTAAATAAAAGACTATTTTTATCATTTCCTCTTAACAACTTTGTACGAAACCGATCAAATACATGCAGTGGGGATCTTCAATTGGTTGGGAGACCAGTAGTATGAAAGCTCAAATGTGAATTTGAGATTGAAAATTTATAAATTTATTTTTAAATTTTATAATTTGGCAATTAAATCCATAATCAGATAGTTATATAATTTATTATAAGGTTTTGAAATTTCGTAAGACAAAATCTTAACACGTGAATTCATAAATTACACAGCCTCAAGGACACATCCAATGACCTGTGGTTGTTTGTTTGTTTGGTGGTCCTATTTTATTTCCATACAATCATTGCACGTTTAAGACTAACCAATATTTCAACTTTATAAGTTTTGAATTTTAGAGTGATAAATTTCAAGTGTTAATATTTGTCCTTTATTGACTTTACACACTTCTTTTACTATGTCACTTTTTGAATATAATAAATACAATATCTTGAAAATGTAATAGAGAAATGACTATAATTAATGATAAGGGTAAATTAGGAACTACGTTGTAAAATTATCCATTAATTTTATAAAATAGACAAGTATTGTTAGACATTCCAAAATAGTATAGTAAACAACTATTGTTGGACTTGGACGGAGGAATTATATATATTTGATAGATTTCTTTAAACAACTATTCTGTACCACTGCCACATTAGTTTAAATGCCTATATTACCCTACAGCAACTACTAATACAAGTATACCCAATATTATGAAGTTGCAAGTACATCAACCAAACAATCAGAAATTAGCTTAACAACCATATAATACTCGCAACAAACCTTGCATTGGTCTCATATTGTTTGCTCATATAAAGCTCTTAAGTAGCAAAATATATAAACAACTGTTCGTAAAGCTACCCAAATTGAAAAATATTAGCTGCTTACAAAATTCTAAAAATAAAGTTTTTTCTGTGACTAATATGTCTGGAGCCTAAAAGAAAAAACAGGGCTCCTTGCAGCGTTTCGCTGCTTACATTACTCGTGGAAGTCTTAAAGAAATGCCATGATTCAACAGTCGCCCCTTTTTACCTACACAAAACAGTCTTCTTGACCTCTTGGAGCTCGGATAGCTCCTCTGCCAAGGCGACTATCATATGAAAGGAACTATTGATCAGTTGGCAGACACGGAAGTAAACATGGTTAGCCTCTAATCACGCCTACTATACAAGCTTTCGTCAAAACATAGCTGGATAAGGTCATGCTAGATAATGCAAGACGACCATGCTATAATATCTTGAACGAAATGTAAGAACTAGGATGCAAAGTAGTGCCCATCACAGTTCCACTTCAAGAAAAGTTTAGGCAGAGTGAAGAGTGCATTGTTTATCCGCTAAATGTAGGGGCATCACAACCAGAGGAACCTGCTGAGATATTCCACAACATACCACCTCTTGAATGCTGTCTTATGTTGGTGGCTTCTGTAAAGTCCAATGATGAGCCTTCAGAGGCACCAAACTCAACGTTGCTGAACAAAAAGTTGGCGACAGTTCTGTCAATAACATTCGTCCGCGATTCTGAAGTCTCTTCCTCGTTGAACCTGATGTTTTTTCCAGTATGAGAAAATATGCACATTAATACAGGAATACCAATAACGACAAGATTTTCATACTGCATTTTCCCTCTTGAATTATTTGGTGTATTTCGGCTTCAAATAAAGCTCTCCACTGTTTTTTCCATTTATTTTTTCCGTTCCAATAGACAATGGTGAAATTTTGAGCATAGAAAGTACACAAAACAATGAAAGCTTTTTACACATTTTAAGTATAGGAAGTACAAGAAGTACTGGAAGATTTTACAAAATAAAGATATAATTCCTCTAATGATCTTCAACCAGGCAGAGCCTACAGAAATACATCTGTTATAGTCTCCCTAATCACGAACCACAACATCATGTGTAACAGCTCACTAACAAGCTCTAGACTCTAGTCCATCAATGAAAGTAATTGAGCATGCGCACTAACCACGTAGAATCTTGATCTGGCATAGCATTCCTACTCTGACATGCATCATGTTTTGAATTTCCTGCAAGACGATATAGAGAATCCCGGAAGCAGATTCTGGTTTCCTCTGTCAGCTGTTTGGTATCAGGACAAGCACAAATTCAGTAAACCTGGCCATTTGACCACAATATTACAATGGTAAACCCAAAACTTAAAACCTTCACTACCTGAGATGTGAGATTTTCTAGGTGCTGTAGGACGGATTCCTCCATGGATATTTCCTCGTCACTCACTTTATTATCTCCTTTATCATGCTCCAATTTTACGGCAACCTCTGCTTGTGGTGCCTGAGAATAAAATTTCAATGATTTAGACTTCAGAACTCAGATAGGTGAAAGCTTACAAATAGTTGAAATGAAAAAGACACTATACAAAATGAGAATAAATGTGTATGCATATGTTTCTGCTAATTACCATCAGATAAAAATCCAAAAATATGTATAGACAGCTGCCTAGTTCCTTTATGATGTCCCCCACATGCCTCGACAACTTCCCATGAAATCAAAACCCAAAACAAATAGTAGTCTCCTCCTACATCTGCACCTATACCTGCCCAGTCCTATGAAATAAAAATAGAGGGGACAAAGACTAAACTCAAAACTCTGCACCAAACTTCCCTCCCCTTCCCACAAACACATCAACACCCAAAAAACTAAAAGAAAAACCCCAAAGCGAACTTAAATGGTCATTTGAGTTCAACAACAGTTGTTGTAAGATCATACTTCATTAGACTGTTCTATCAGCTAACAGAAACTAAAAGATAAAAATGTTCATCACTTGGAGACAACTTGTAAACTCACACAGAAATGATCTCGACTTAGATTTTGCCTCACAAAGTATGATATAATGAGAGAGATGAATTCAACACAACCATATCTTTTCTTTTTTCCTCTCAGAAATTGTAACAGAAAAACTCAGCTCTAGCTTATCTTAAGAATTATACCATGGCATCTGTCTCAACTTGGTTGAATTGGTACAAATGGACAGTTCAAATAGTACTTCAAAATCAAAACCATTTACAAGCAAACATGTTCAAACATTATTTTGCTCATGGTTCCCTCGGTATCCAAAATAAAGTGACCCACAGACATGAGGTTTGCACAATTCGACACTGTTACAAGCCGTCTTTAGAGAAGAGACAGACCTCCATAGGTCAGAAAGAAGGGTAGCTGCTCCAAACTCAATTCCCCAGGAAAGAGAAAATTCAAATTTGTGTTCTAGAGATTTTAGGATAATTCCGATTTTTTACCTTCAAATTTTAGTTCAACCCTCAAAAATCATGCAAGGTTCGCCCCTGCTTGAATGCAGGTGAAATATTCCCAAAATTTCCTTCCACCAAAAAGCATGAGTAGTAACCTGGATTGTTCCCTGCATCTGCCTCAATGCAAATTTAAAACTCCAAGTGAGCCAAAAATCTTTTCATGTAAGACATCATAATGAACTGAAACTCATTATAATACACCGGACCAATTAACTTATCGGCTGGTCCCTCTAGAGCTCTCAGATGACATAATATAGATGCAGTGAAGTCTTTAAGTTCTTCTGGGGTTGATGATTCAACTCCAGCTTCACATATTGGAGTTGTTAGATGAAAATTCATGCCCTTCAGAAACAAAAATGAACAAAAGCATCACCTTTTTCAGCAAATAAGAATTGTTAACTTCTTGCCCCTCCCAATCCACTGGTGAAGTAAAAGCATGTGCAGAGAAATATTTGGCAGTACCAGCACAAGTGTTGCTCGTCATATCTCTTACTTGATCATCATCCAGCAGCATGCTGCAACGGGAATCTGTTGATGACTCATCAGATGCATCCATTCCAGTTGGACAGTCTTCGTCGAGTAAGGAACTTCTGCATAATGGAACATAAGAACTCGATCAGTCATTTGAGAAAAATGACAAATTCTTCCATCGAACTCCACAACTATTGGTCAACAAATTCAATAATAGAATGAAACCAAATAAAATTCATCAGAGTTAAGAGCTTTACAGGAACACATCATCCAACTGATCGATTGAGGTAAAGTTATCAAGATGAAATTCCAGCTGCTCAGGTGGATATGAGGACCATTGATCCATATCACAGTATGAAGCTTGGTTAGCTGCATTATCAAAAGGCTCCTCATGAATTCCAAAGTTTTTCATGTCAACATCATTAGATAGGCCATTCCCGATCACTTTACAATCTTCAGCTCCATCGTATGACCTTATATTGTTCCTTTTCATTTCTGACTTGAAATTGCCAAAGGGTGTTGAGTCCCACTGTGACCAGCTATCAGAAGATGGTGAAAAACCATCAAAGCTTTTAGGAACAACAACATCACCATCATCAACGCGAGAAAACCACTCCATAAGATTAACCTGGTAGAATAGTAATCATGGTAAAATTTGAGAAATCAAGATAGAACACAACTGAGAAAGCTTAATGACCACCCCCACCCCAAGCTTGATAAAAGTTACTCATCTCATTTCTCAGCTGTAGATAAATGCAAGTTCAACATACACCAAGTCCACATAAATCTTAACACAACTAAACACAAAGATAATCATCTTATTTCCCCTAGTTTTTTCCGTATTTCCCAAGAAACTGATACTGCCGATTCAAGAATTTCAGTAGCTGAGTTTCTTGACTATCTGAACTATCAGAGTTGATTGACTACAGCTTTCACTTTGTTGGTGAGGTTCGACTCCCCGCCTGGTAGTCCCCTCCCCATTTCCCCTACTCTCACCCCCAATGAAAAGAATAAGGATGCTGTCAATTCAACTCTATTCCAATATAAAACAGACAGATGCAAACTCTCATCTCAAATTTCAATTACAAGTTACTTTAAATTTGAGATCTAGACCTCCATCCAGATATTCTAGCCAAAAAAAATCAAAATAGATGGTAGGAACTTTTAATTTCAGAAAAAAAGAACATAATTCAGAGAAGCTCCTAAAGTTCTAATACAAAACAGAACTGATCAACTTAACTCAACCGTAAATCATGATAAAACAAACTCATAAGAGATCAAACCCCAAGCCAAAGTCTTTGTGCTTCTTTTTTTGAAAAGAACACCCTTTCTCCAAATTTATGAACAAAACTTCAACCAGCAAAACCACACATATAACTGAAATCATTCAAAAAGCACTAAAACCAGCTCAAGAATCAACAACCCCATATTCACCTCCATAAACTTAAAAACCAAACAAAAAAAACTTACCCTTCTGAAAATTGCAAGAAAATGAGGAAGAAAACTTTCCCAAAATAGCCAAAACTATAGGAGAAAGCAAGTGGAAATAAAGATAGGATTTTTCTTCTTAGCTTAGGAGAAGATTATATGTGTTGGAAAGAAGTGACCTTTGCAACTTGGAAGTGTATATATATAAATATAAATATTTCCCTTTTCTTTTTTTTTGCAATATTAACTCACAGTTACTGGAAACAGAGGCAAGCGGCAGTGGTATTGTAAATTGCCATGGCTATAAATTTATCCACTTTTTTTATCATCACAATTATTTTTGTCCACATGAAAACGAACGCTTATAGTAAAATTGACTATAATACCCTTCGTGCAACAATTAAAGAGCCTCCATTTTATTACCAAAATCAAGAATATAAGGTGTATTTAGTAAAGTCAATAGAGAGAAGGAAAAAAAGAATTTGCATAAGCATAATTCATGGAATATAATTTTCCCCCACCAAGCAAGTTGGTGTATGAAGGGGTAAAATTGGAAGGAAAATGTGCCACGTGTACCAATAAGATGTGAGATTTAGATAGAAATAATAAGAGCCTCAAATCCTAAAAGCAAAGGATTGTGAGCCACAAATGACAGAAGGGTAGATTATGTTTATTGAAGATTTTGTTTGATTGCGTCACGTGGCGGGGAGCAATAAGGCCCACGTAAATCAATTCATTTTACACGTGGCAATTAAATAAGAAGCTGAGTCAGCAGCGCTAATTTGGGAATATTTAAAAGTCTGCCTCAATCACGTGATTGAAATATGTTGGGTTAAAAAGGATAACACAAACTTTTTGTTGATTTGAGGCCATGCGCAGAGGTATTCGCTTTTTCAATTGGATAGAGAATAAGCAAGCCGCAGTTGCTCGGATGGTAATTCTCACTTTTAATTTAAAATTGTGAGTTTGAGCCATCAAGATAACAAAAAGAATGAAAACTACTAAAAAGGGGTAAAAAATAATGAAATTAGGGTTCACCCCTGCTTCTGATCATCTCAATTTCCGCTATTCTCCAAACCTCATTTTTCATCACATTTCATTTTCGTAGTGTTTTAGATAGCATATAAATATGTTTGAAATAATACATTTTTTATTTATTTATCAAATATCAGAAAATAAATTAAAATTTTACTCGTTTTCTAATATTTGCAAGGAAAATATAAAACACACTTTTAATCTAAAGAACGAGTAAATTTCTTAAATGACCACTCATATTTTAAAAAAATAAATTGCTTGCTAAAATTATGTCTACTTCTAGGACGACAATACTACTCAATTATTGCTATTTTCCTCAAATGTTCTTTTAACGCAATAAAAAGTTCTTTTCTCCTAATTAAATGTCATATTACATTAAACTTTTCTTTTTTAATAATACATTTATTAATCATTTAACGCAACCAGATTTTAGACACGATAAAATCTAGATGACCATTCAGGAAATTTTAGCAAATAATTTTCAAAACATGGGTTCTCTAAAGAACATATAATTATATAAATAAAATCACGTTATAAAGTTATGATACAAACATTCATAATATGCTCAAAAAATGCCTAAAGCTTTTAGCTTTGATCATTCGACGATGCAGTATTAATGTTTCAAAGTGTATCTAAGGACATATCACTATAGACATTATTATTCAATACACGATAGTTAGTTATATTCATGTATCGTCACTTCCAACATATAGTTAGTTATATAAAAAGACGTTGTACCAAACTTGTGAAATTATGACACTCATCATGTCACCCATGTATATTTGAAGTTGGAACGTTATACCTAACTTCAAACGTTACGTGAAAGACAAATTATTCAGATGAAGACATGTTAAAGATATAGTAACGTCCAGCAAGTAACTACACCAGCAATTACACCAAGTCCTCTTAAACAAAGTACTCTAGTAACATAAACTCCAGGTGCTACCACCAGGGGTAATCAACATTTCCAAGATTAATATACCAGTCTGCAGACGAATGTCGATAACCAAAGTGCCTTGTCTGCTGGTTTTAAGAGAAGATCCTCAAGATTTCTACAGTCAACAAGACCAAAAAAAGAAAATTAGGCTTAAAAGAATGAAATAAGTTGTAATGACGTCCCAACACTACAAATCAAAGCAAGTCCCAAGTATATTTCACCTGCATTGGAAGGTAAAGTTTGAATTCTGGTGGCAGTTCCTCCTCTGAATAGAGACGGTCAGAAAAGTATATCCTCCTTAGCCTGCAATTTGCATGAACTTGAACTCGCAGTGTTTCAACATAGTTGGTTCCATAAGCTCGTCTGGTCAAATCAGAAAGGTTCAACTGGATTTGATTCCATCCTTCATCCAATTTCAAGGGCATAGTGCAAATATAGGGTTTCACTCGGGTTACCGCCTGCAACATACAGGTGAAAGTTTCAAACTCCAGCATTCATGAAATCTAGTAAATAAACATTAACACAGCTTGTCAAAAGAGGACTTGAAGTCAAAGTACTGTAATATCTCGAGGTCAAAGAATGACCAAAAAAAATAGTAGCACTTTTTTCCTCTTTTGTTTCTCACTTATGCTGTACTAATTATCTAATTCTCTCACTAACTCAGCTTTAACAAACAGCACATTTTTTATGCCACCAAAACAGCAACCTGTCGTATGCGAGATGCCAAACTCCACATCCAAGCAAAGCAGGAAATGTAGCAACAGCTACAGAATTTATATTAGGCATTTACATTATACCTCATTTAGATGTAGCAACTGCTACTTCCGACATTTTAGTGTGGAAACAGAGATATTCTCCTACCTTTTTTGACACTTCACAGGTCGCTAACTTTCTCCTCGTCACAATTTATTTAAATTGATGTATCCATTCAGATTTATTAGAAGAATCATCAATCCATATAACAAGAACCATAGAAAAGTTTAATATATGATAATACTACTGTTATAAGTCCAGAAAAAATGCTGTCAAACATAAGCTCTTACCAAAAAGAGCAAGACTCTATTCATGTCATAGACTCCATCTAACAAGTAAAAAAAAAAAAGAATTTTGCTCATAAACAATAAAAAATTGATTAAATGAAGCTCATTCCACTCAGTTACAGCTCCTTCCAAATGCTAAGATCAATTATCATCCTAGACAGCACTCAGCAGCTTTCTTAAACTAATGACAATATGCCATATATTGGGAAAGACTACATGTACAAAAAGATATCCAAATTATGCCACAAAGAAGTCATAGAAACAAATCTATATATCCTGGAAAGACTTACAGACTTGATAATTAGAAGCTCGAAATCTTCTCCGGACATTTTTATCATCTAAAACCTGAATTTCAAACGTGAAGTACTTCTTCACATTCTTCACTATCATGACTAAGAAGGGCAACTTTATGCCAAGAGTTGCATTAGGATCTGCAGGACACGTTATGTATGCTTGCTGGATATTCGACCCAATAATTTCCAGGACATTGGATTGGATATCTTCATCTTGCAGCCGTTTGACATGTCCATCGACAACTGCACACAAGGAATAATTTGCATTGTCAGAAAGGAGAGACGGGACGGAGGTGTTAAAAATTTGGAACAGCAAATCTCTGAAGAAAATAGCTCTCTTTCAATTGCAGAGCGAGTTACTATCTCAACAGAGGATATTTGTGAGTTGGTGTCATATCAGGCACGTCACGTGCAAAGAATCTTGTTGCAGGTTAGTTTGGTAACTATGGACCTTGTAGTCTCATTGTTTAATATCTCGCGGATGTTACCAAGGACAATAGAGAAAGCAATCACGTGTTGGAGATAGTAGAAGATTGCAAATGAAAGGAAGGGAACATGGAGAACAACACAACCATGTCTACTTTAGAGCATAAGGAAAGAACAGGATAGCCGGATAGGAGAATGTTCCATAATAGTGCAAACGATGTAGAATGCATAAAGAGATGTGTTTAATTTCAGTTGTATTATTGGTGTAACAAGAAAATACTGTGTTCTAGATAGAGAGAAATTAAGAATTAAAAGTAAACAAAGGGTGATACCACAATAAAGTGAACTCTTCAGGTATGTCAAACTTCCAGCAATGAGAAACAAATCACAAAATCCCTACAATACTAATATGATTTAGAAACAATCAATTTTTGCCCAGAGAATCTAAATACTGATCATATAACAAAGAGTTCTTTTTAAATTAAGGCTGTCCCTGGTGTATTTTCCTAGTTACATTGTCCAAGAAAGGATTTAGAGGATTCAGCAATCAAACAATAGCACTATCACCACATCATATCAACAACACAACTGATTCCAGTAATCCACGCTCTCTTGAATGCTCTAATAAAACTACTCCGCACCAACAAATTACACTACAGATATGATCCTCAACAAGAAACAAGTTATATGCCAAAACAAAACAACACAATTTGGGATAAATAAGTATGCATAAACCCCTCCTTCAGCTGAAAGGGGTAAAAATTAAGTCCCCACAGTAAACCCCAGAACCACCAAGTCAACACAAAACCCATACATGAATCCTATAACTGAATCTCTGGCAAAATTAGTGCAACCCACATATAAGCTTAAAAATTTACCTTCTTTATCCCAAATTTGCAGAGGCTTGCTCCTGGAGGAAAAAAAAAACTAATCTTTAATACAAGTAGATGAGTCAAAATTGAAAACTAAACAATAACGTACGAAGATTACATACCCAAGGCTGTACAAAATGGAAAGAAATCCGGATTGGAACGTGTTCTTAAACATTGGAGTCAAATTCTGCAAATCAACCCACAGAATTATTCGAATATAACCTTACCAAAACAATCCCTTATACCTTGAATGAAGAAACGGGACCGAGTGCGGGAGGAAAATAAGGGTTCTTGAATAGACTTTGATTTAGGGGAATAGAACGGGCGAATCTTGACCCGGCTTGACTCCGAAATAAGGTAAACGGGTCGGGCTAATTTTAATATCAAAATCAAGACAAATATTAACAATCTCTTAAATATTTTTGGGGGCATAAGATGATAAGGAATAAGGGATTGTTTTGGTAAGGTTTATAAAAATATAATTAAAAATAATGTATAAGTAATGCCGATAAGACATTTTACATTATAGAGATTCATTATAATTGTCAATTAAATA